TCGGAATCACGGTGAAGATCTGGCCACATTGCTGGCTTGTCGCATGTCGTCAACACAGCCAAAGACCGAAGTTGTCTTAAGATGCAGAAGCAGACCTGGCTCCAAATGCGCCAGAGTGGCTTGCTGCCTCGGCTTTATGGCGCCGCATGCGCTCATGCCTGGGGGGGGGTGTCGATCTCATCGCCATGTCTTGCAGTACTTGGCGCAGCGCAACCTCTTTGGTTTCCAGGTGGCGACCGACTTCCAAGTGGCTGTGCGACTTGGCATTCAAGTGCCCGCTACCATTTTACAAGTTGACCTCGAGACTGTAGTGGCGATCGCTTCGGTGTCCCGCCTCGTAGATGGACGGTTACTCGTTTTTACGTGGGGGCGGACTTCGCGGACCGCAGACATTCAGTTGCGTTTATTGACACGCAGCCCTGGGCCTTTGCGTCCTGCGCTGTGGGGGGTGCGGCACTTCTCCATGGAACCGTTGGGCGATCTTCCGCTTACGCGGCTGCGGCCGCCGCCACAGGTCAGCAACTCGTTCAATTTGGTGCTTCAGGATCTGCATAGCCCTTGCCTTTGCGAAACCCGCCCAGGTGGGAAGCTGGGCAGGTTGGTTTGCGGCTCTGGAATTCCCCTCTCTTTGGAGATCTTACGCTGGACACATCTGTCTCCTTGTCTCGGCCCTTGCGATGCCCACTCATGGGAAGCTTGGGCCCCTGCTCATTCCGGAAATCTGGACCTCTTCTAACCCTAAATGATGACTAAAACGTCCAGGATGCTTTGCGTTCCCTGAGCGGTCACAGTAACCCTCCGTGAGACATCAGTCCTGTTCGATCGCCGTATAGTGAACCGCTTCTTTGAAAAAAGCCTTTCCGAACGGCACCTGGACCTCCATCGCCGTGCTTTTCAACACCTTCGGTGGGCTTCTCTGCAACGAACTTTGAGTTGAACTCGAAGTTGAACTCAACTCTGAACTTCTTGAACTGGAGTTGAACCTGGAGTTGAACTCTGAAAGGCGAAGAGTTTGAACCCAGGGTTTGAAATTAGAGTTTCCGAACCCAGAGTTCAGAGTTCGAACATGGAGTTTCCGAACCCAGAGTTCGAACTCTTGTATCATTGCTTCTTGTTCTCTCATTGTATTTTTTCGCAAAAACCCACATTAGCGATTTCGTGTGTCTTCTTCTTCTTTTGCTTGTGCTTGCAGTTGAGTTTGTGGTTTCTGTCATTGTAGTGTGCTCTCAGTAATTTTATTCGCAAAACCCCCACAAAGCGATTCTGTGTGGCTTCTTCTCCTTTTGTTTTGGTGATTGTTGGTGTTCGAACCCCGTTCGAACTCTGGAGGGGAGTCTAGAACCCGGTTCATTTGTTCGCGCCTTTAGCATTCTCGTAGGAGACTTCATGTCCTTCTGAAGCCCCCTTGAGAAGAAAGACTCCTCGTCATTGACAATCTTTTTCTTTGTTTTGTCTTTCTTTTATTTATTCTCCCAGATTGTTTGGGGCACCCGGGCAAGAAACTAGAATCCTTGCCAAGCAAAATCTAAACTAAACAACCCCATAGTAGCCAGCCTCGAGATAAGTTTAAGAAGCATCGTCCGGCCTCCTAGTCCAGCAGGTGACCAAGAGGCAAATTAATAGACAGCAGCTGGCCCTGATAATTTAATGGTTTCCTTTACCCTGAAGCTAAAAACAATCCCTTTTGACTCTTTTCTTGGCAGGGTGGCCTGATCCGGCACATCCCCGAGGCTTCGCCTGTTGCAGTTGCATGCTAGAGGAAGCTGACTGAGCCGAGTCGGTAGGTGTTTGTTTGCTGTGTGGGTGTGTGCATTGTATTAAAGGGCAGCTTTTCTGGCCTCCTGCTACAGCAGTTGAGATGGAGGCGTCGGGCCTGGAGGCCTTGACATATATTATTTCCGGAGTCTCTAAATCCGCAATCTAATCCTGAAGCTGTTTGGCTCAAAGCTATTCAAGGCGGGTGGATTTCTGGTCAAGGCCATGGAAGACGTGGCCAGCCTGGGTGAAGCTGTTCGTCGGGACAAGGAGCCAGAGCTTTTCTAGATTCGGCAAAGACGACAGAGCCGGATCCGAAGCAGCATCAGAGGCTGTGTCGAGCTCTCAAAAAGCAAAAAATCAGCGTGCCCATGTCGCTGAAGATGCGAGGGATGCTTTGGAGAGAAAATTGGCTGTTCAGAACGAAGTCAACACTCGTTTGGAAGCAATCCTGCAGGACAGGGACGCATTGCTTGTCGAGCAGACCCACTCAATCCAAGATCTCATGGCAGAGAACAGCAAGATCGTGAATGAGAAGAACTACTTGTTGCAGAAACTGGATGCCGCTCGTGAAGATGTGACACGTTTGCAGGCTGCTTTGGACCGCCTGAACATGATTGTCGAAAGCTTTTCCAGCACCATGCTTCCAGACATCGACGACATTGAGATTGAAGACACGCAGCTTAATCTTAGTTAGAGCGCAGACTAGTCTTAGGCAGACAGCACAATGGCAGGGGCGCCTTGGCAAAAAAAACTTTTCATGTGCACTTCACTTGCATTGTTCTCAGTGCACGAATAATACGAAGTTTCAGATGACGTGATTTTCGCTGCCATGTTACTCCCAAAGCCAACACGACTCAGCACAGCATGTCCCGGCCGAGCATCAATACGCCATGTTTGCGGCGTTGCGGCCGCATTGCGTTCGGGACGCATACATATTGCTGCAGGGGGTGCAAGCTCCAGGACAAGCACTGCGGAGGATGTGACCAAAGAAATCAGGAATGGCAGCAGCAACGCGAGCGAGAGCGGCAAGATCGTCAAGACAGTCGGCACGTCGGACTGATTTGCCACAGGGACTGCCGTCTACGCAGCGTGCAGAGTTCCTTGCAGCAGGACCTCGGAAGCGGGCAGTGATGGTTCTTGTCGCAACCTCTCAGACGTCCATGTCTGCTGACAGTTTCAATCTGTTTTTGCGGTCATTAGTGAGAGCATTTCACCCTGATTTGCACAGTGCTGATAATGAGAATAATGACATTAGCCAGTACTTGAACCGTTTGCGCGTGGACTAGCGGCCTCGACAATGGCCGCAAATGATCCACGTGCCTGTTAGAAGCTGGCAGACATGCATGCCTGCGCTCAGCTTGACAAATATGTCACATGCACTTGTCATGCTGAGTGCATGACATTGCTCATGGTCGTGCTGGTAATTGTATTGCATTTCTGACAGCCTGACTTTGGCAGGCCACTGCGTTCGGTGGGGACATGTCAATGACGGAGCAGGACTGGCAAAGGACGCAAGCGAGACACGACTTCAAAGACTTGGGCAGGTTGTTTTCCTTGCTTTACTAGGCTGCATGATGTGTGGCGGAGATTTGAGCTGTGCGCTTTAAACCCTAAGCACAGCATGTATTCCTCGTTTAGAGTGGCCTTCCTGCGCATTCTGTTGTGTCTCTTCATGGCATCCTTGCAGGTTTTCCTGCGAATCCTTTACGAGGCTGGAATAGGCTGCCCAGTCCATCGGGCAGCGTCGGTTTTGAAGCTGGTAGGCTTAGCAGCGGCGGGTAGATGCAGTAAAAGCGCCTAGACGACACTGATAGCCGTTAACAGCGAATGGTAGAGCTTAACAGCGTATGTTTTGGAGCTGGTCGGGTTTAGCAGCGTGGAAAGGCTGCTGGTACATAGAAGCGAATGATGTGCACTATCAGCGACCAACATATATCATATATTGCTATACTTTGAGAGTCGGAGGAGCATGTGTTGCTCCTGCATATATATATATATATATATATGTATGTATGTATTTTTCCCCATATAGCGTATTAGGATTGACGTGTGCATATGGCAGGAAGCATGCATGTGCAGGTTGCGAGCAAGGTTTGTTCGTGTCACTCGATCGTTGGCTCTAGATTTTTTTGTTGCCCTGCCTGCCCATTGCAATGGCTGATGTGGAAATGGAAGTCACACACAACAAATGGGGGTGGACCGAATGGTCCGACTGGACCTACTGGACCGACTGGAACGACGGGACACCCCAAGCTAGCAAGTGGACCGACTGGAACGACGGAACACCCCAAGCTAGCAAGCAGTGGCCGGGGTACAGCGACTGGAGATCCCAACCTAGCCTGCAGTGGCCAGGGTACACAAGAGGTCAAGTCCAGACATGGTTCGCGAAGCGAGCTCGCAGCTAGGTAGCATGTTTAGTTTTTGTTTTAATCCATTGTTTTCTAGGTATAGCTGGTACCATGTATAGTTTTTTAAAATTGTGTTTTGAGCTAGGAAAGTATAGATTCATATAAGTGCAGGCTGGCACTTGCGAATGCAGAAGAAATCGGCGAAGTTTCGGCCGCACCGATGCATACTAACGAAGTTTCGGTCCCGTAGTCGACTGCAGTAATTCATGCATGCATAGCAATTGTTAATTTTACCTGGAATAGCTAGGTCGGATTCCTGCAGGCGAGACTGCCTGCATGAGCCTTGGTCGAGTCCTGACGGGAAACAAAAGAGAAGGCTGCCTGCATGTGTTGACAGGTTTCGCCGAGGCATGAAAAGGGAAGTGCTGGTGTGTCGAGCAAGTAAGCCATCGCTGCAACAACAGCAAAGCAGCATTCAAAACCCCATCCCCCGATCTGCAGGCCAGGCGGCCAAGGTGAAAAAGACTGCAGCTGGAGCAGATGCGACAGCAGTCAGTGTCCTTGGCAGCATTTTTCGTTGGTGCGTCCGCACACCTGACTGAAGGCAACACCGCAAGCTGTCACCCAGAACAGCACCGTGTTGACCAAGCACAAGGAGAACGTGACCTTGGTGCACAGTGACTTTGGGCCGGGATCCGCCGCATAAGTCGTGGCTCAGGGCATTCGACCAGTCGGCCGCAGTCTCGGACCTCAAGAAGTATGGGAAGCACACGTGCCTAGTGAATGCTGCTTGGCTGGATCATGATTACAGCCCGTGCCCATCAGCAGATGGGCACGGGCTGTAATCATGATCCAGGAATCTTTGCCGCACCAAACCAAGTAGTCTTCGCAGCCATGGGCAGCAGCAAGCCAGCCCCGAGGGCGGCCAAGGTGAAAAAGACTGCAGCTGGAGCAGATGCGGCAGCAGCGTCCTTGGCAGCAGTTGCCGTTGGTGCGTCCGCACACCTGCAGGCAACACCGCAAGCTGTCACCCAGAACAGCACTGTGTTGACCAAGCACAAGGAGAACGTGACCTTGGTGCACAGTGACTTTGGGCCGGACTTCGAGATGCAGGATCCGCCGCATAAGTCGTGGCTCAGGGCATTCGACGAGTCGGCCGCAGTCTCGGACCTCAAGAGGTATGGGAAGCACACGTGCCTAGTGAATGCTGCTTGGCTGGATCATGATTACAGCCCGTGCCCTTCAATTCCTTTGGTTTGGAAGACAGTGGAGAATATGATCGAGCACTACTTTGCGCAGCCCAACAACCTCTCAGACCAGAAGATCGAAGTGGTGGTCCTCAGCAGTGACTTGGCACACAACAAGTTCCCAACCAAGGGGTCGTGGAAGTTCGCGAGCGCGGAGGAGCCAGTCATGGCAATGTATGCGGCAATTGCGTCCACCATCCAGGCCCGCAGAGACGGGGAGGGCGTGAAGACGAACGAGGAGCTGCAGAAGATGGATGACCAACTTTGTATTTGGAAGGAGAAGCTTCTGGAGACACAGGTGGACATCAAGGTGATGGACAACGAGATCCAGCTGCAGTGGGCCGCACAGCAGTACCGGGAGAACATCAATCAGAGAACCTACTTGACGAGAACATCTGTGCAGCGCATCTTCGACTTGCAGGCCAAGAGCACACTGTTGGGCCCTCACGCCTCCAATGAGGACTTGGCACGCCTGTACAATGAGAATTTGAAGCTCTCCTCGAAGAGTGAGCCCATCAGCGACAATTTCGTCGATCAGGGCTTGCTGGTTTACAAGAAAGCCCTGGTCTTTCCAGAGATCTTGCAAGTGATTTTGAAGGAAGAAGAGTACCACACTTCCTCGCTCTTCGACGGCGTTTCAAAGTTGTGGGCCATCTGCAACAAGACGAGCACAAGAGAGGAAGCCTTCTGGGTCTTTTCTTTCATCCACCATTGCCGCTGCAACGGGGACATGCCCGACAAAAGCTGCACCAGCTTCCGGATTTTGGCCGGCACCGCGAAGGACCACCACCAAGGCCTCGTTGACGTGATCCTGTATCAGCATCGCATCAAATCGTACCTTCTGAGTGTCTCGTTTAAAGCTTCAAAATCCCTAAGCCCTAGACCCTCAGCCTTTAAACCCCGATGGGACCTTTAGCCCTAGAAAATGATAAAGAATAACACACATCACACCAGTCTTAACCGTAATAATAGCCACAGGAATAAACAGGAAAGGTATACCATTAACCATCCAGAGCCCCATGATTCACTTCAAGTTTTTCTTGTTTTTTTTGAGCAGGCTGGTTGAGATTTCTTTTAAGCTGCAACACACACACATTGATAATCTGTAAACCTGAGACCCTTTAAATGCAGGTTGTAGTGGAGTCTGTTAGAGGTTGTGATCGTTGATTTTTGTTGTTTTGATGCGTACTGAACCTCTAAGGTGAGTTTCTGCCGGTTGTCTGCAAGCACTTGCCCGATGAGGTCAGGGCAAAGATCAGATCTGCCTGCGCCGACTGCCAGGCCTACCGGGAGCACGTGGGAGTGGGCCAGGAGTCCGTGGATCTTGGTTGGAAGTCTGGATGGAGTGGAGCAGCAGACTCGGTGCTACTCTTTCTGGGGGAAGCGATCTTCAGCGCGAAGTATCATGACAGCATGCGCACAAGCATGAGACAAGCAAAATCAGTTGAAGACTGCTTGGAGTCGGACAGCAAGCTCGGGGAAGCAGTCAAGGAAGTCAAAGAGCAGCTGCAGAATGAGAGGTTGGCTTCAGCCGAGACCGCCCCATCAGCCGGTGACCCGACTTCGGCCGTTGCAACAGATGTGCCCATGCAGGAGACCTTGGAGATGCAGTCCCCAGCACTGCAGGAGTTTGTGAAGAGCCGGGGCATGCAGAACGTGGACGTGGACAAGCTCAAGAAGTTGCAGATGTTCGAGAAGAAGGCGCGCATGCTGGTGCAGTCGAACGTGGCCCTGCACGTGTTTGTGGAGAAAGAAAAAGATTTGATGGCTGCGATCCACGCGTCGCCTGCTGGACAAGTCCGGGGCAAGGATCATAGTTGGGTTGGCATTTTTGTGGACCCAGTCCACATTGGCGAACCGGCCACCGCGCCACACATCAGGGTGGCACCCTGCAACCAAAAATACTTGAAGAACCTCATCAGCAGCATCGTCAAGACGCGAGATCCGATGCAAACTTGTTTGCATCCCCGCGACATGTTCTTGCTGTTTGACTCCGGCGTGCACACACAGCAGTCCAAGATGCTTGCCTGCATCTTGAACAACGAGGGCAACCAGATGCCCATGCACCAGATGAAGGTCTACGTCACGTACGATGAAAATGCGCTCCGAGAGCGCCGCAAGAGTCAGAGGACCAGCCTGGATCAGACCGAGCAGCTGACCCTTGTGACAAGCGAGGAGTTTGGCCAATGCATGTTGCAGCGCCCGCGCAAAGCTTTCCCAGGCAGCAACTTCGGCAATGTCGTGGGGCCAGTGAGGCCCGATGCGCCGGGAGAGTTGTGGCAGCTGAGCGTTGAGGAGACTTTCTACTGTAATACTTTTTTTTGTTGTTTTGGATTCTCGCGTTACTTGTAAACACGTCTCCTCCCAATGCACGGCTAGGAGAAGCTGGCCATCTATGGAAAGTATCGCATGGCTGTTGGAGGCCGGACACCGGGAGAGGACCCGGACCAGAGCGCAGGGCGTGGCTGTGGCAAGCCACGCACCACCGTGGAGCCCGTGTTTTGGCACGGGAGACCGGAGATCATGTACCAGGAGATGGTGTCCAGTTACGGTTTCACAGCCCTCATCGATTGCCAAGCCGCTGATGGGGTTTTGGCAAGCCTTGCAGCCACGGAGCGCTTGCCTTACATCGGCTTCTGTTTGACAGAGACCCACCTCAAGAAGCTGCAGGAAGTCGTCGTGTTCCGTGTCCTGAAGGAGATGGCCCGCCCGAACAGCAAGGTTCACGAGAGCAAGCTGGTTGAGACCTTGGGAGCTGCGTCGTCGAGCGCAACACCTACCCCAGCCACGGTGCCCCAGGGCGGCGGCAACAGCGGTGGAGGCAGCACCAGCACTGCACAGAGTGTGCTGAGTCAGTTCCAGGCAGGCGTGGGGTTGTATTATTGTTCTTTATTTTTTTGTCGCTGAGATCACCAAATTATGTTGGATGATTCTAAAATTACACCGTTACACCCTAATGAAACCCTAAACCTTAAGCCCTAAACATGTGAAACCCTAAACACTAAACATGTGCTTGCCACAGCAGGCACGCTTGAATGAGCTCCAGAACACAAGCGGCTAGCAGTGAGCCTGTTGGCAAGATTGATGGCGCGATCCCCAGGGATGCCATGGCCTGCATGCAGCAGGTGGATCTTCAGAAGCAAAGCCCCTGCATCCAGCAGGTGGCTTTCCAAGTTTTGGCCAAGGTTTTGATGACACCCCGCAAGGAAAAAAAGTGCGTAATTCCAGAGTGTCCTTTGCTGCATCATTGTCAGTGCTCATCAGCAGTGATTTGTGTTTAAAGTCGCCACCGCCCCGCTCCCAGCTGCTGGGAATGAGTCTTCTTTGCAGTGCCATGGACGTGAACTGGCTTGCACATAGTGTGAAGCTTTTATTTGCCCGGTTTAGGGTTTAGGGCTTTAGGGTTGAGGGTTTAGGGTAGGGTTTAGGGCTTTAGGGTTGAGGGTTTAGGGCTTTAGGGTTGGGGGTTTAGGGTAGGGTTTAGGGCTTTAGGGTTGAGGGTTTAGGGCCTTGAACAACGGAAGAGAATGAAAACAATTAGTTGACCCTGACATTCTGAGGTGCCGCTGCATTATGGGCCAGCTCGGCCAACGGGTGAGAACACGCAGAACAAGACTAAGAAGAAGCCTGCAGCGGCGAAGCCAGCATCTAGCTCGAGCAAAGATCCGGGGACAGCAACCAAAACAATCAAGCACATGAAGAAGCCAGCTGCAGCAAAAGCAAAAGGCAAGCCAGCCAAGGCTTCGGCAAAGGCAGGAGCTAAGAAAGGAGGCAAGACAGTGCTTGCTAGGAGGGAACCCGTTGAGTCCTCCTTGCACGGCGCGCAGCACTTCTACAACTTCCCAGCGGATGTAAGTCTGTGCAGTGATTGCAGTGGCATGGGCACAGAGTTCATGGCAGCAAAGCTTGCGTTTCCAAACGCAAACGTCAAGCACAACTATGCTTCTGACTCCGACCCAGTTTGCAGGCCAGGGTTGCGTTCGCAGCTCGAGTGTACCGACCCAATTTGTCGATAATTTGCCTTGCAAGGTCCTTCTTGAAGCACTATGTCAATCCCAAGGTAGTGGCCGACAACATTGAGAATGACATCCCAGCAGATTGGGCTTTGTGCTCGGACTTCTACATTTGCGGATATCCATGCCAACCCTTCAGCCAAGCGGGAAAGCAAGAAGGTGTGGCGGATGCAAAGGGCCGCGGCAGTGTCATTGTAAAAGTTCCCTTCCAGATTGCTCGGCTCAAGCCAAAAGCATTCGTGTTGGAGAATGTGCTGGGAATGGTGCAGCGTTTCCCACGGACATTCAATCTCCTCATCGACACGTTGCGATGTTTGGAGCTCGAGCCTGGAAGTGGCCCCAGCTACAACGTGTACTGGAATGAGTTGTCAGCAGACAAGCGCGGCGGCACACCGCAGCACAGGGAGAGACTGTTTGTGGTGGGCATCAAAGCTTCCTCGCAGGTACATCATTTTGAGTGGCCCAAGCCTTTGCCAGGTTCATTGACTCTCAGCGAGTGCATGGGTGTTGGCACCAACCCGCCATTGCCGCCGACAGACAAGCTGAGCAAAACCGTGAGGAAGAGCATGAGCTGCCTCGAAGCGCTGCGCACGGAGCATGGGCCACAGGACATCATTTGCGATGTCGGCTCCAGCAACAGCACATACTTCATCGGGAAGTCGCCTTGCCTGACAGCCTTTTCTTGCTCAAGTTTCCGTTACTACTCCACTGCACGAGGGCGCTGGCTGAATTGCAATGATTTTCTCGCCCTGCAGGGAATGTCGCCAAGCGCATTCCCTGACTGGCAAAAGATTGTGGACCCTAAGCCTTTTGGGCGCATGCTGGGCAACGCAATTCATGCACAGATTCTCAAGCGCATCTTGGTGCAAATTGCCCGTGCGCAAGGCTGGCGGTGCCATGGGGGCATGTAAATCTTCAGATGCAAGATGGGACCAGTTTTGAGCATTTTGGATTTGAGTGCCGCATGAATGGTAAAAGCTGCTTTTAGTGCCACTGTCATGTGTCGCATCTCGGTGAGTTGAGTCCATCAAGCAGCCGAAATTGCTCATGTAATGAAAGGCCAAAGTGGATTGAGCACCTTTGCATGGCAAAAGCCGCCCAAGTAATCTTTAGAAGTGAAAGGTTACATGGGCTCGTTTGTGTCTATGTATGTGTCTATGTATGTGTCTGTTTGTGTCTATGTATGTTACTGCGTCCATGTTGTGTCTATGTATGGGCTCTGTTTGTGTCTATGTTCTCTACTGTGTCCATGTTCTCTAATTTTTAGGGTTTGGCCTCCTTCCCTTTGGGTAGGAGGCCCCGATCAGGAGGCCCTGGCCTCCTTAATTTGGCCTCCTTCTTACCTGGAGCAGGAGGCCCCGATCAGGAGGGCCAGGCCTCCTTAACTTGGCCTCCTTCTTACCTAGAGCAGGAGGCCCCGATCAGGAGGCCAGGCCTCCTTAATTTGGCATCGATCAAGAGGCTCGGACATCTTAAAATCTAAATAACATGGTTGAAAGGATGATATGCTTTGCTGCTTTGACAGCCCTGCCACCCAACCCCCCTAAGTCTCAAATCCGAGTTCGATCGTAGATAGGGTTTTAGTAGACTTACCATCCACATCATGTGTTAAGTAAGCTGAATAACTTCAGCCAATCAACCCCCAAGATCCTAGTTTATTGGGCCCCAGAAGGCAACCCACATCCCAGAGGAAACCCGAAACTTCCTGAAAGAAACCTGAGGAGCGAAGGAAACGGTCCTACGGCTCCAAAAGGAGTCTGTACATGAAGAATGTACAGCATGTACAGTTGGACAAAAAGTCCTCAGTGCTGGCCTCAGGCAGGCATTCTTGAACACCAGGTCAGCAGCTGCAACCGAGGTCCCCTCTGCATCAGCATCAACAACCAGTCGATCATCCATGAGACTGGTCGGACGCCGGAAAGAGGGAACACAAGGTCGGCCGCGATCTGGTGTTAAGAGTGTCACCGCCGGGTCACAGCTGGCATCTTGGTCGCCCTGACTGGCTGAGGTGGCAGCCGTGTCAGTCATCTGTGATCGAGGATCTAGGCTGAGGCTTGTGAATATCCCACATTCACTGAGCCCCCATTCGTATTCAGCACGTAATCCCAAGACCCTGGCAAGGGGCGGGCTCACGTAGTCACTCTCATCCATTATCGAGTGACACCTCCCGAAGAAGGAGGGAGGATAAGGCCTCGTGTACCCCGAGGGGCTCGCCACGAGGCCTAGGCAGGGTGCTGTTGACCAGAGGCAGTGCCACCACCGGTAGCATCCTCTGACTTTTCCTGCTTGACTTCTGTTTTGGCGTCTTTGCCCTTGCCCGGAGGCTGCTCTGCACGTCGACGTGGAGAACGTTCTCGATCCGGTCTCTCGAGGAAGGCCTCCTGGTCCTTGGCTGCCTGGCAGGCAGCTTGAAGCGTTCTGGAGATGTCCGCCTCCCTGGCGGCCATCTGCTCCTGGAACTGGCGTCTTTGCTGCTCGCGTTGTATATCCTCGTCGATGGCCAGATCCGCCGTATTCATGTCCTCGGAATCCGACCCATCCACCTGCTGGACCTCCCCATTGAGCTTGGAGATGTCGCGACTGGTTTCCTGCAGCTGTTGTGCCCACCGTTCCTCTGACTGGTCGAACTCCTGCATGGCGATCGCCTTCTCCTGCAGCTGCTGTTCCCAGGTTTGGCAAAGCTTGATGGTATACTTGGTCCACTGTGCCAGAAAGTCTCTTCTGGCCGCTTTGATCTGGTCGAGCTCTCGTCGCGCAGCGGTCTGGGCCGATACGAGCTTGTGCATGGCCCGCCCCGCTGTCTTGTGATCTTCGCCAGTGTGCTCGTCGAGGAGAGACCGAAGCTGTTGTGGTAACTCCTCCCGGGTGCGACTCATCGCACCAATGAGCTGTTGCAGCAGCTGATCTGAAGCCGACAGACCAGTCGACGAGGAGGCCTCCTTGGGTGGAGGAGGAACTGCTGGCACTGGCGTTGCCGGGAGGCTTCGCTCCGGCGGTGCAATGGCGGCTGCTCCCTTGGCGGCGGGCTGCCCCGGCTTCTGGGGGATCGCGCTCGAGGGTCCTGTCGGGAGCTCCAAGGCTCCTGTTGTCCCCAAGCATGGTCGTCCTTGTGTGGCCACGGCGCATGCGCATTGGCATAGGTACCTGTGGCACTCCAGTGCTGTCCACATCCCGGACAATAAGCAAAGGTGCCCCTCACTGACTGCTTGCAGCTCCGGCAGTGCCACGCCGCTGACGTCGCCATCGAGGAATGGTGTTCTCTCACCAATCGCTGTGCAGCCTGAAGCCTGTCCTGTGAGGTCACGACCCAGCCCGAGCTTGCCGCTCGGAGCAAGGTCCTGGCTCGTGTTCTGGCCTTGCGTTGCCGCCGATGCCAGGCCGGCTCGATAGTGCGTCTCACCCTCAGCAGTATGATGAAGCTGTAAAATTGTAAAAGGAGAGCAACCAAGAACCGAAGGCCCATCCACAAAAGTATCAACTTCCAAATCCAGCCTCCAAGGAGGGGATGCAAGCAATACAGAAGGGATGGCCAAGGAAAAAATCCAGCTGTCGAAGACAGGGATGTAGCAGGAGCACCTCGCGAGGCGTACAGTGCTCAGCTGTGGAGGGACAGAGTGCCTGTGGCTCACAATGTCCTTGTGCGGGCGTTGCGTTCGCCGCGCTGGGTCAGGGCAACAGTTCGCGAGGGACTCCTAGGAGAAACTACCTCTACCAACGAACTGAAGCCAAACGCCTCTAAATCTGGATTAGAACCTGGGTTTGAATCTGGTTTAAATCCGGATTCATTAAATCCGGGGTTCCAAGCCAAGGTTTCAACCTGAGCTCACTCCCAAGGTTTGCAAGCGTGTCTAGAAAGACTTATCCTTTTCTAGACTCCAGGAGGCGCATTTCTGAGCCGGTTCCAAGGCACAGTGACACCACTGGAGAGGTTGTCACAGTCTACAGGTGACTGGCATGTGGGGGTGCCACGTCTTCCGCATTCCTTTTGTTCTTTTTGGACGTGTGACCAAGATGTTTGCATATCGTGCAGGCTTGCTTTCAAGAACATCGCACGATCAACAAAGACTTGATTTACGCGACAATGGCAAATCCATCACGCTGGAAGTAGAAACGCGGAAAAATGTCTGACAAAAAAACCTGCCACTGTTGAGCTCCCATTTAGTGTCCGTTTCCTCTTTCACCCTGAACTCCGATCCGTTCGCATTAAATACAAGATCATCTTTGAAACCTTACAGAAGGTGCAGCCAAGCTTGTTTCAGTTTGATTTGAGGCTCCATTAGCAGGGTTTCTTGTTTGCAGCAAGCTATTTGAGCGTTGTTTTTGTGCAGCAAGATCTTAGGAAACTTGTAGGGGTCTTCTTTTGTAAAAAGCTCTTGTGGAAGTTGCATTTATAGCGTTTTCTTACACAGCGACCTCTTGGAAACATATTGGGATAGCGTATTTTTTTGACATTTGTGGATGGTTTTTCTGCGGCAAGCAATTGAAGAAGAGCCCTTTCAGGCCTTCTGTTGTTTCAGGGAATTTCCACTTGCAGGGCTTCTTTTGTGTCGAAACTCATCGGGAATTCCGAATTGCCTTCGTCTTTTCGAAGCTATTCAAGGCTTTCGATCGTGGAATGTTGTTTCGCTTCAAGCTATTGAGGGGTTACGATTCTCAATCATCATATATCTCAAACGCGCCCCCTCCCCTCATGTGGCGATTCCGGTTCAGCATATGTCCCAAATACAGCCCTTTCATGTGGCAATTCATACATCCTGAACACGCCCCCCTCATTTGGCGATAGGACCGCGATTCATCTTATATCTTAGACACGCCCTCTCATGCGGTCTTGCGCGTTCATCATATATGTTAAGCACTCGCCCGTCACTTGTCGACTCGGGTTCATCATGTATGTTCTTCACGCCCCCTCATGTGGCGATTCCGGTTCAGCATACATCTTATTCACACCCCCTCCCCTCATGTGGCGATTCCGGTTCATCAGACGTCCTAAACATGCCCACATCACTTGAGCACTCCGATTCATTTTGTATCTTAAACATGCGCCCTCATTTGGTGTTCCGGTTCGTCATATATCTTCTTTATCACGAGTTCTGAGAGGGTCCATATGGGTTCTGTTTTAGCTGGCAGGATGATACTTGAAGCGATCTTGCACAGATTAAAAATGCGCGAGGGTTGGGGGGATGTAGCCCCCCATCTGCCCGAATGATGGATTCTTGAAACGGCTCTTGTTGATGGTACGATGATCTTGAAAGACAGCCTGCGCGGCGTAATAAGAACGGGGCGGGGGTTTGGGGGGCGGCTTTCCCTCCATTTGCACACACGACGTCTTAATCACGGGTTCTGAGAGGGGCAATTGGGTTCTGTTTTTGCTGGCAGGATGATACGTGAAGTGGCCTTGTACAGCTTAAAGAAGTGCGGGGGTTGGGGCGGACGTAGCCTCCCGTTTGCAAATGGTTTGGATTGTAAAAACCAAAACTAAGCTTCCTAAAGCCTTAAGACTTTCCCACACAAGGGTGTAGGGTCTAAAGATGTTACTGCGACGGTTTGGGACTTTAGGATTCCGGGGTTTTGAAATTTGAGGGTCTCAGTTTGAAGGATTCTGGAATTGGGCCAAAAGGCAGATTTTACAAGACATTCCGTTCGGAAAATGTTTTTGGGTTTTGGCCTGCTAGGACTGTTGTCATGAACCCGAAAGCTAACCCCGAAGACTTTCGAACCCAGGACAGTAGGATCTTAGGATTTCAGCTTTCGGGATACGGTCTCAACGGTTCTGTTGAGTTTTTTAAGGTTTATTGAGTTTTGAGGTTTTTACTGTGTTGGGGTTTAAGGTTTGAGGAGTTTACACTGTTATGGTTTAAGGAGATTTAGTCAATTTAGTATTTCAGCACTTTAGGAAGGAGGCACGGAATAGGAGTTCAACTATGTCAGATATTTCAAGACTTCCTGTTTGGACGGGCACCGTTCTGGGATCCCGGCTAATTAGGAATAACCAAAAACTAAGGAGTAAGACTTTCCAACCCAAGGCTACGGGCGGTCAATATTGGAAATTTCTGAAACTTGTCACTCTTGCATCTTTGCTCTCACTATGGCAGCATAGATCCCCAAGTGCCGATAGTGCACCACCACGACCATGACGACCACAGGACCGCGACCACCAAATTCGTTCTTGCAAATAGTGGCAGATTGAGCGTGTTATCTACAAGCATGGGTACCGCATTTCCCCGCCCTGTCGGTGGAGCATCTTCAGGGCACCATGCCCTGCATCTACTGCTTCGAGCGTTTTCAGGGACGTTTCCGTCTGAATTCCGGTTGAAATCTTCAAAGTCTTGAGTTGTTCATATGTTTAAGCTCCGAACTCTTGATGTTCGAAAACGTTTTCAATTTTTGACTCGGTGCTCGTGCATTCCATGTGTGCGGAAGGAGGAATTTTCATCTTGGGTCAGCTTGGTCCTTGTCGCCGCGGCACACATGTTGTTAAGAGGAACAGCATTCTATGCTGACGAGCGGCGGTTTCGGCAAGATTTTCAAAACAAGTTGCAGCTGGCCCAGTCTCAGGGAAGTAGAAGCGTCCCGTGTTGACCGGCCGATTATGTCGTTGCAGGACTTAAATGCAAAAAGTGTCGATGGATGGCCTTAACCGGGCAACTCAGAATCGAAGGACTTCCATGCCCTCTTCAACAAGGAGATCGATCGCTATCTGGCCAAGCTTGCCACCCGAGGCAAAACGTCGGCAGGCACGGATGCAGTCTGTCAGGCTTCCTGTGGTCAGGTTTTTCCGACTCGGATCCACTTGGCCGAGCATGCACTTGTGGTTGTGTCGTAGGCCAGCGTGAAGATCAACCATACGTTCCCGAGTTGAAACGTCTGGCGCGACAGATGGCTGACCCTTGCCCGTGCTAAAACATGTGAGGGATCGTCGAAGTCAGAGTGCAAGAGTTTGAAAGTGGACTTGGGCATCAGCTTTGGTGTTGTTTTTCCAAACTTGTTGTCAACCAAGCTTTCACCCGCATGACATGGCGAGGTGTAAGTCCATTTTAGCAATGGCTGCATATCGGTCACATGCTGGCCCTGACAGACGGCATCACCCGTATGATGTTTTGTGCGTGCGATAAGCTCAGGTAGAAAGGCATGGACACAGAAAGTGCTTGTGATGTGCCACAAGGAAAGCGTTCTGCAGCGCCTGGCTGCCAATGCCACAAAGTGGGGCTTGGATCAGCAGGTCTGGTTTCATGTTTCCACCATTCCACATTCAAGTCGTCGGCAGTCTGTCAGGCACTGGATGGAAAGCTCGCAGCGCAGCCCTCTGCACAGTCCAGAGCTGCAAACAAGTCTGCAAGACTGGACAAACTGAGGTTAAGGCCAGTCGCACGTGTGTGATGGCTGTACTTGCTACCTGGGATTCCCACTCAGCACGTCAGGTGCCAAGACCTGGAAGCGGAAGTGCGCAGGCATAAGCAGGAGGAGGAGAAAAGAAAAGCTGAAGTGCTGGCAAGATTCAAGGTGCCTGTCGCTTCCAACCTCCCCGTTCGAGTCCTGCATAGATGTTCATGATCAGGCCCAGTACGATGCCATCTTACATTCCCAGGAGCAGGACGCGGTGTTCTGCTCTGTGACGTAGAGGCACCATTCCACTGTTCGCTATCCGAGCCGCAGTTTTCTTTCGAAGGGTCAGTCAGCAAGCTTCTTCTCTTTGCAGCCTATGTGTTGCGGGAAAAGCCTATGGAAGAGCCTGCATGAACGGCTGAAGACTCCTCAGACACGACACAATGAAGGCTGTCTCCTACGCGCTGCAGGCCTTTATATTCAAGAACATTTTCACAGTAAGCGGGAGGTGCACCGGAAATGCAAGTGAATGGTTTTCAGACTTGCTAGACTACGTTTCGTAGCCAGCATGTTTTCTAACACCTTTGACAGTGCTTGACTACTATGAACGGACTCGGCCTGTCAAAAAACTGTTAGTGCAGTTTATTCTGAGTCTTCGGACAGCTGTTTCACAGAGTTCTCCTGTCCTTCCTGTCCCAGATCACAAGGTTCATGTGCCATTGCAGGACTTGCTCCAAATTCGCAGAGCAGTTGCTGCACCGGAGGCGAGCAGTCACCGAGACAGATCCATGGTCCCCATCAAGTCGTCGTGCGTCAGGATGGTGCTACGTCCCCCTACAACGGGACGTTGCTCGGTCAAGAGCTGTCGGAACAGCTAAAAAGTATCCAGAGCCAGCTTTCCAGTACGAAGGCCTGGCATCGCCAGCATCTGTGGTGAAGTCGTCGGGTTCCGCTGGCCGCGAGGCTCACGTCATCGAGCTGGACAGCTTGAAGCTCAACTTGGAGAAGATCGAGGATCAGCAGCGCAGGACAAAAGGGGCACGCTGTACTGCTTGCACGGATTGTTTTGTGCGGTTCTGCGTGCAACTTGAAGAAGTCCACTTAAGGAAGGCTTGTATTGAACCCTTGTCGGCTCTGCGCAGGGCTATTCCTCCAATGGAAGCCTTGTTGGCCAGCACTATGGACACTTGGCCAGACGACACGGAGGACGAGATACTGGCTGCCAACATCCGGAAGGGAGAGCAGGCAACTCTTCTCGGACTGTCTTGAAACCCAGCATTTCCGGCCCAACCAGGTGTGCAAAAGACTTCGGCAGCATCAGTCCTATTGAGAGCTGGCAGTGTGGTCGTGAGCACCCAGGCTCATGCCGTGCCAATTGACAGCACGAGTCCTCTTCAGCGCGAAGAGAATAATTCGGGAAGGAGTGCTTGACTGAAAGCTTATGGGGCAAAGTGGTCTTCCTACTGCTAGCAGTCCGCGTCCGTTGAGATTGCCAGTCCTGCCTCGAAGTTGTCTAGGAACGGCTCGGCATGGCTCCTCCTGAACTCTGCCTTGCTCTGTTGTGCCGTCTTGCTCTCTCGGTTCAAAGTCTGTAGCTGCACCGCGGGACTGGCGGGACTTTGTGTTGGCAGAAGAAGTTCCGAGCTCCCATGAACCGCTGAATGGTCCGTGCCGAGTCGGCCTCAGTTACCATCCGCAATGCAATGAATAGTCACATTTCGTGCAAAAGGGCATGTTTTTACTGGAGTGGGTTCGGGTCAGGCTCCTTTCGTGGTGCGGCTGGCTGTGGCAGTGGCGGTCCATGATGGCCTCTTCCAGGCAGAGCAGGGGCCCGGATGTACTGCGTCGAGTCAGCGCCACCCGCACGAAGCCAGAATGCATGCAATGCAGGCTCCAGATTTCCTGAACTGTGCTGGGCCACCATTTTCTCCGGTATGGTCCGTCGACGACTCAGATCCGGAGAAGCACGGCAAAGGCATTCTTGAGCTAGTCTGCGAAGGTTTTCCGAGATGCGGCCATTTTCAATGCACGGGCTGGCTATCCCCGAAACGAAAGCCTTCGCAGCATGGCTGTCGAGCTGATAAGCGGCTTTGAGGAAAGCCAGACTCCAAGTAAGTTGTGATATTTGGCACAAGTGTTCGGAGTGTAGCGCAATTGAGGCATGATCGGAGGAGCCAGGGCTTGGGTTGTGCATCTGCGCACAGCTGCGACTGGAGACATCTTCGAGCTCAGGCAAAGGAGACGTCTTTTCGCATACGTCGCATACCGTGCCGCATTCGCCTGGTTGTGCTTGCATGGTGGAGGTCCCACGGCACGGAGCATGCCGCGTTCATGGGACAGGGTGTCCAAGGCCTTTGGAGTGCTTGTAGAGTGCAGGGAACCACAGCAGCCACCGTCAGCATGAATGGGTAGACAGCGGGGTTCAACTGTTGGCTGTGATATGTTGAAGATGGTTGAAGTGTTTGTGAGCGTGCGCAAGACCGTCAAGACCATCAAAGTCTAGCGCATGCGCAGACTTGACCTGGTCTAAGTCGGATTCCGTGCACAGTCGACGCTCCTGCCGGCCCTTTCTTGCTGTCTTTGACTAGAGCTTACCCACACAGCATGCGGATGGATGGCACTTTGCCCATGGATCTTCGAGGTGAGGGAAGGTCATACAAGAGATGTTGGGGCAGGCTGACCCTCTCTTGGCAGCTCCAGTTGTAAGGGACAAGTCTCGGTCCGCACGAGCATCGACTGAACAACTCGCCCATCCTCATCTCAAAGTGTGTTTTTGTCGGTGTGTGTGTGTGTGTGTGCGTACTCTCGCACTATCCTCGGAAAGACAACGGTTCTTCGACAGCAGACACGTGCAGAAAATCCTTGTCCATTCATCGCTATGTTGCTTCGATAGGCTAAGCTGGTCTGTGAAACTGCATCGGCTTCGCGCGAGAGTCATGGCAGGTAAGCCGGGGCCTTTGGGTTCGTCCTTGCGGGCGTCCCAGCAGGCAAGTTCTGTCGCCACGATCGGAAGCCTCCGAAGCCTCCGGACAGACTTGGCCCTGGGTTGGGTGCAGGTGAACGTGGATCAGCAAGATCCAATGGCTTTCTGCCTCTATGGCTACGTGCACGCACTCTTTGTGGAGTACAGGCACACCGTGCCCTTCGAGCACGCTGGAGGACTCTTGTGACGGTTTTGGTTTCGTTTACCAGTGCCGCATGGAGGACCTTTCCTCAATGCAGACGACCCTCGGCGGGCCACGTGCCATGACCGACGGCCCTTGCTCCAAGTCGTGCGAAGCTGAGCGACCGTGCGAGGGTCGTTGGGACGCGATTGCGAGAGAGCAACCGAGGCCGAGCAGCTCTTGGGCGGAGAGACAGGTGAGACGGACTTCTTGGAGAGCTCGGACTGGCCACTGTCTTCCCTGGACTTACATCTCAGCTTCTCAGCTTCTCTTTCGCACTCTGCCTTTCTTGGTTCACTGTGCTCTCTTTTTCCAGGCTTGCACTCGACGCTGGACTTTCGATCCTCGCCGAATTGCCATGAAATCTTCGATCCGCGGCTCGTGGCGAAATCTGCTGTGCAGGCCGGTATTCCTTCACAGCATGTGCGGTCGTGTCGTCATGGCGACTTGGCAAGGAGATTCTGCGCTTGCCAGATGTCAGCAGCTGGAATGCGCGGCCATTCAAGGTTGCGGCACTCGGTCTTCACGTTGCCAGCACTCTGGAGCCTTTCGCGGCCATTCGTCCTGACCCCAGACAATCTTTGGCAGGGACCGGCTCAGGTCTGTAGCATGTCGCCTTTGCAGGCGAAGCTGCGCGTCGATCTGGCTTGGAAGGTGGACGTCCTGTGCACTTCCGCATAGTGAAGGCAAAAAGTTGTGGGTGTGCCCTGCCAGATGGCCTTGACGTGTTTTTTGCTGGGCACCCGTGCTACGGCCGGCCTGGAGACAAGACGCTGAAGCACGCCTGCATTCACAAATGCAGACGGCCTAGGCTTGTACGGTGAGTCCTGGTATAGCAGTACAGCGGGCTGTACATCAACCGTAGACGATACGGTGAGGTCAAATGCTGGGTTCTCCCTGTGAAGACGATGAGGTTGTTCCAACCTCAGGATGCATCTGTCGCTTTCAAAAAGCTCCGCGGAGACGAGATTGTCTGAAGGCCGAATTCCTCAAGCGCATGTTCAACAGCTCAGGCTTTTATGTGAGGGTCCCCAGTTCTGTACCATGCTCGCAGCATAATGCTCCGTCACGATCGAGTGTTGCACAGTCCGAACCCGCAGGAGGAAGTTCCGTGGTCGGTGTCGGAAGCTCTCAGCGAGCTAAGTGGTCTGTGGCAGCGCGAACCTGCGATTGGCAGCGCCGACGTCATCATATGTGGGAGTCCGATTAAAGCAGAGCGTCGCCATGGGCAAACAACAGGTGCAACAACAACTGAATGAACCGAGGTTCGGGCCCAATGTCCCTTTGCTACTTGATTGACGTGCTCGCCCCCTCGACCCCATTAGCGGCACGGCAGGAACTCTCCCTATTGCGGGGGGGGGGAAGGTCGATGTCTAGGGCCATCGAGGTGGTGCCGGTTTGCTCTCAATTGCTCTGGGGAGCTCCGCCTGGCAACGATTTTCGAGCGGCTCTCTTGTCACACGTGCGAGGCTTACTTCAGCAGGAGGGGTTTCCATTTTATCCTTTTCCAGAATCGCCTAAGGTTCGCATTATGATGCAAAATCCCAGGCCAGGCCCGACTGAAGGCCTCAGAAATCCGAGTTTGGGTCCCGGCTCCTATGGCTCCCCGGCCCCGGAGGCGTGTTGTGATGGCTTGCAATGCCTTTGCGGCTTCGCAGTGCCTCTATCAGACCGGTGCCAGTCTTCCAGCGGCTTGGCCTCATCAGAGCCGCAAGAGATCGGCCACAGACGCACTAATTTCTCGTCTCTCGATTCTCGAGGTTGTCGAGCGGGTGGCGCACTACCTTCCACCCCACGTGGTTTGGAAAGCTCAGGATGCAGATCATTGGAAGGAGGTGCTACGACGGCTACGATGCACAAACAAGCACAACGACGGTCAATGTGGGGCCAGTGTGTTGAAGAGGTCTTGGTTCTTCGAGCCCGCTACTGGCACCGGCTTCCTGGACAGTACTTCATGGATGTCCTCGAATCCTACCTCAGGCTGAATCAGGTCAGCTTGAGGCTCAGGCATCAGGTTCTGGTCAGATGGTAGCCCAGCAACCTGGCTCCGCATCGAGGCCACAACTACACCTTCGTGATGGCCGCATCATTTGGGCCCGACGAGCTACCGACTCTCGATGCAGAGGAGTACACATTGACCCATTTTGCCGTTGTCGTTGCTGGTAAGCTGGGAGAAGATTTGCTTGCAATGCCCCGAGGCCTGAAGAAATCGCCAACTATCGTGCCGCGGTCCTCGTTCCCAACGATTTGACAGTGCCTCCTCCGTGTTTGCATCATCCAATTTTCTGGGGGTGCCGTGAAGTGACCCTGCGAGCATGTGCCAGGTCTTTGCTTTCATCGAAGTCTATGCACTAGGCCCGCCCTCAGCTTTCGCTCCGACTGCTCTTTCAGCCGCTGCATGGATGCTAGGGGTTCCGGTCTTTGTTCCGCGCCCCTCGTGGCTTTATCGCTTGCGACGTGCCCTCTGCTGAGCTCCTACCGTGGTGCCGTTTGCTCGTGTCCAAGTCTGGCTTCCAAGGCTGCGCCGTTTGGCTTTCTCCAGCCGGCATTCGCACTGCCGGACGTCTCTGGCATACATCACAAGTTCCCGTCTCGTCCACAGCAGCCCCTTGCAGGGTGTCATGAAGTGCTGGACATGCAATGCCTTTCTCGAGGCATGCTCCTTTCCTCAGTGGTGCTGGCGGGCGAGAAGATCTTTCTGCGTTTCTGTTTTGGCAGCAAACGTCTGAGCTCCACTCCAGACCACATGCAAGAAGCCCAGCAGACAAGAAGCTACACAATCCTGTGCGCTGCAGCCGTAGCTTGGTTGAACTCGCTGAAGGTGCAGCAATTCAGCAGCATCCCCGAACTCATCCAACTCAGCGGCTCCGTGGATCTCAATGCCGTGAGCCGTGGGATGCTGGAGCACCGGGAAGAACTTCGCAAACGGGCTTTGGCCTTCTGGACGAACGTTCTGCAGAGGTGCTTGGAAGAAGGCCCTACTGCAAATGAAGGCCCTGCCTCGCCCACGCCGCCCGGGCCCCCCCACGGCGCCCCCGCTGGCCACGAACGCGGCGGCCCTGGCGCCCTCCGGGCTGTCCTCGACTGTACGTCGGGTGAGGAGCACGCGCTCGGGGTCGCAGCCTCAGGTCCTCGGCATCAGAATGCATCGTCACAAGACACTGCTCTGAGGCCTGGAAGGACTTCCATCGTGCTTTTCAGGGACATGCTGCTGCCGGCTTCCCCATCGACTGGGAGCTCCAGGTGCGAGAGCTTGAGAACAGACGGCCGTCCATAGAAATGCTGGAATATCTGGTTGTGAAGGTGACTCATGGGCGTGTCAGCTTGAAAGCATCCTGAAAACAAGCACAATAAAGCTTGAATAATTGGCGCTTCTTGGTTTCCGTTGAACCTCAAAACACAGCAAACACAGCAAGCAAAACTGAGCCACCAAAAAGCAAGCTGCATCTATCGTGGATTTTGTTAAATGGCCAAACCCACACAAGAAATACAAGGCGGCCCTCCCTGCCGCCGTGGCTCACGCCGGAAAAGTATGTATCGGCCAGGGAAATTTAATTGAAGAACACATCGAAACAAACAGTCAAGCAAAGACAAGGTATTACTAGTATTAGTGCTTTGCAAGGGTGCTCGCACCCACAGGCAGTCAATCAATCAATCAATCAATCAATCAATCAATCAATCAATCAGTATTAGTGCTATGATTATCAACAGTCATACTTTCGGGTACCCAAATGACGTCTTTTCGCTTGATGAAAAACTGTTCTTTTAGGGTTTGTCTGGGTTTATTTTGGGTTTGCAGCACGTATACTGGAACCGGACCAGGCTTGTTTTAGGTGTATTGGGGAAGTTTTCTAACGAAGGTTTCACACGTAATGGCCTGTCTGATCGTAGACTTTTGGGCAGCTTTTGGGGTTGGGGTCTCGTGCTTTAGAGGGCTTTCGATGGTAGTCGGGCCTGGGAATGACCACCACCGACCAAGCTGAGTTGTGACGAGAGCTACGTTGAAGTGAGACGAACACTTGCGAACAAAGTATCCAGAACTTGAGAAGTTGAGAAGGCAGAAGCAGGAACGTCAAATCTTTCGAAGCAGGAGTGAATTGATACAATCATGATCTACTGTCTCACCCTCCGCAATGTACTGAATGCTGTTGCTACAATTGTAATATGTGAGTCAGGTCGTGCTCAACACGGTCTTCAGCTGGTATAAGCCCGTTATTCTCTGGACGCCTCAGGACGCAAAGGTCCGCGAGTCTTCGGAATAGAAGCCGCGGGCTCTGATGTAAGGCATTCGGCCTTTTTGACCCTTTCGGCCACTTTTCAAACGTCCTCAACGGAATCGCTGCCTTTGGAACCGCATGACTCTCAGAAGCACCGGCTGCACGGGTCTCTCGCCTCGCTGCGGCCTCGCTTCCGTCCTGAGTCCGTTGGTCGAGTGCGTCGTCTCTTTACATCGCTCCGGTCTGGGCTTTAACGCAAACAGACGAATGGAAAATGTTCCTCTTTGTCGCATCGCATGACTCACCATCTGCCTAAGCTTCTATTAGGCCAGGCTTTTCTTCGCACCGCATTGCATCCAAGCAACCTCTGTGGATGAAAAGCGTTGGTGTTGCACTCGAACCAGCGTGTGTGTAAGCAAACCTGCAAAAAAGTCATATTATTGTTTGCCAAATGGCTTTGGTGGTTCGGAAGAAGCTGGAGAGCTGCTGCGATCAGAATAGCATGTTCAAGAAGTGCCAAAACAACTATGAATTGGCCGAAAGAAAATGCAACATCCTCAGCGCAGGCGATGACTAGGCCAAGCTCGGTGCGCCAAGAACGCTTGTCATTCAGCGGAAGCCTTGCAGTCGAAGCGCCGGATGTTGGGCATGAGTGCCGAAAATGGGTAAGTTCGCACTAGTCCTCGGCCCCCAATCAGCACCCGAATAGAGCCAGCCCTTTCGCCTGAAATCGCGAAGCTCGAGTTAGTGTTTCGTTAGGTTTTTGCTTCCTTTTCCTGCCGGTCCAACCCTGTCGACCTTCAACTTGCCCCGGCTCGGCAAAGCTTCGAAACCTACAGCTCGCCACATGGCAGCTTGCAGGCCATGGCTACAGCGCTGTGGGATGCAGTTCGTTCAACTCCAGACAACCTGGCTACTGCATCGGCACTCTTCCATCAAGTGCCTTTGACCCATGGTCCGTCCGCGACAAAGATGCCACCTACTATCTATCTATCTATCTGTCTATTTATATATGTATATATATATATATATACATATATCCGTTGTTCTTGCTTGAGGTACTAATTGGTGAGGCATCTCCCGAATTGATCACGCACGCGCGGCACTGTCATTATGGACTGGTGGTGGCCCTCTTCGTGTTGGCCAGACACGCGATGGCCCCCCAGCTTGATGCCAAGATTTCTGAGGGCCAGAACTATGCGGCGCTGGCGATGCGTCTGCTTGGCGGGTTTGCAGCTCTGGACTTCCTTGAGGATTCCTCGTGGCCTTTGTCATCCTTGGCCTAGGGCTTGGTTGCCGTACGAGAGAGTTGCCGCAAAGTATGTAACGCACTCTTGGAGCGCACGTTGAAATTGAGGACATAGCTTCTCTGCAGATTGCACTGCGATCATGCCATCCCGGGACTTGTGGCTGGGGCTGGGGCCACACCAGGGACGCCTTCCGCACTCGGACAGTTGTCGAGAGACTCGTGCCCTGGACAGTTCCTGCGACTGGGTTTGCCGAGCCGTCAAGCTCACTGCCGCTCGGGATGTGGAAGCTGGCAGTTGTGGGGGCTCACCCGAGCCTTTGCGCAGACATAGCATCTGCAGTACATTCCGCTGTACATGGTCGGTCCGAGCATCGGTATTTTGGATTGAGCTGTCCCGGTCATCATGCAGCGTCGCATCATTGTAGCTTTCGTTGCGAAGTGCGGGGCCCTCAGTGTTGCTCATAGCCTCGAAGATGGCCGTCCTTCAGCTTCTGGCGCGGCCTTGAGGCTGGAGCAGTGTGAGAACGATCTGATCTTCGATCGAATCCTCAGCCGCATGATGGACTGGACACAGTTCGTCGAGATCGACTATGATGAAGAGGCCGATGTGCAATGTGCCAGGGAAGGTCGTGTGCCCATGCTGTTTACACCGTCAGCGGTTGGCGAACACGAGGTCCTCCGGCAAGAACTTCGTGCCATAGTTGAGCTGGATGCCTTCTTGCTTCAAGCTGATCTGCAAGTATGCACCGGGCCGTATGTTCTCTGCTACATGATGCAGCGAGTTCTTCACATTCCCTTTTTGGTTTACTCCGGCTGGAGCCTCAGCCGAAGCTTTTGCACCGAGCTCCGACGCTACGCATGGCCTGTCTCGAGGTTTGGCTTTGACTTACTTGGCTTCTGCCGAGAAGCTGGAGGCTTTGTTGCAGTCGGCACGGGCGGCAGCTCTGCCTCCTTCAGGCCCGGCGAGTGAGCGATGCAGCATGCAGCTGAGAGCCCGGCACCGTTGGCGGACAGGCGATTCTGTGCGAAGCGCATTCGTCGGATCCCCGGACATCCCCGGCCAAGGTCCCAATCGATCCTTCACGTCCTCGTCAGGTGGTCACCGATTTCGTTCGGGCCGCACAGTTCCACCATGCCACGGACGTTTGGGTGCCAGTGGTTCCTCCGCTGTCGATGTACCAAAAGCTCGGTCACTCAGGAGCTGCAGTGGGACGGAGTAAAGTTGGCCGCTTGTGTTTCTCTTCAGGACAGATTTCTTTGCACCCCCAAGCCATCGCACTTCGACCAGAGCTATGGCGTGTGGTGCCCAGAACAATGGGAGTAAAGAGTCACAGAGCCGACGCTGCCACTGTAATAGTGTCCGACATGCTGTTTTGGGAGTGGGATCGGAACACACGAAGAGGCTAGTGAGCAGGGGAGACAATGTTTCATGCGCAACGAGCACATCATGCAGTTTCTCTTCCCATCCCTTCATGGGGCTACGAATGATTTGTGGCTGGGCTTGCCTTGGGGCAAGTCGCTGATGCACATTCCATGTGCAAGTGTTGCTGTCGTTGTCGTTTCAGCTTTCCTTGTGGCACTGCTCCAGCCAACCAATGGTAACGAGAAAGACACTAATGTGCATCCGAGAACTAGAAGTTCTTTGTCGATTGAAGGGAATTGGATCATTCGGCTGGTCTCGAACATCGTCAGTGGGAGCAAGAAAATTGGCATCAAGGGGGGAGCCAGTGACATAGAGACGTGGATCGTCGGGGTTGCCTGCCAAATTCATGAAGGGTCGCACCTTCGACATCCTGTTGAGCCTGAGCCCGGCCTATCATGCCCGCGAGTATTCTCGATTGGAGAGGTCGTGCAGCCTTTGGCCCTGCATTTCGCGGGCTGCTGCGGCAGATGTTTCCGGGGAAGCCTGCGGTGGCTCCTGGGAATGCAAGGGACATGCCGTCGAGCTGAAAAGTCAGTGCGGTCATAGCTTAGGCTAGGCAGGTCTCCAGGACTGTCTATTTTTGCAATTTCTATGTGAGTGCAAGTCAGTCACAGCGCTATGCGGCTACGGCGGCCGGCTATGCGCTTTATCTAGTTCAACTTTGAACACTATGTTGAGCTCCTGCCAGCTTCAGAAGTTGCATTGTTTTTTGTCGTTAGTCGCTCGCTACTGGTCTGCTAGCAGGTGGAGGCTGATGATATATTCACCTGTAGAGCTGTCCGTATTGGTCGTGTAGAGATGCAGTGCGAGGCCTTTCAAACACATTTTCTTGCGCTGCGCCGCTCAACTGCAGAAGATGCTTGACACTGGCGTCCCTGTCCCCTGACTGTACGCATGACAAGGAACGATTCTGTCCCACGATGCCGCTCTGATGATACCGTGGGACAATGACGTGCCCTGCTCAGCCAGCGGTCAGAGGAGGCGAAACGGCCCTGCGATCCGTGAATCCAAAGGTCATGTCCTTCTTTGAGCTGTACCATGCTGCTGCGGCCTGAGATCTACAATCGGATGGCCTTTGATGTTGATGGCTTTCCCTCTTCTCAGGCCATGCCATTGCTGCTTCCAAGCCAAACGCTGATGGCAAAGTGGCTTCCAGCCGTTCGCTGGGGCTCGCTGGAGTTTGACAGAATGGTTGGTGACGTTCCCATGTGCATGTTTGCCTTCTGGCAGAGTCACAAGCAGAAGCTGCAAGCCCCATGGATGAATCAGTCAAACTTGGCTGCCGCACTGGAGGGGGGCGCTTTGGCATGGATTGGGGCTACCGACTACTACCGCCTGCCTCACGTCCTTTATTTTGACTCAGTTGCATCCATCGGAAGCTTGATGCAAAGGCAAGTCCTTCAGGAGGCGAGTGTGAAAATCAAAACAGAAAGCCGAAGAATCCGTGCCCACTCGCTTGCCTTCTATCGCGACAGTTTGCTGCAGCTGATGGGGGAGAAGCCTATGGAAGGCACCACCGTCCAGGAAGCGCTGCCCGTCGAAAGACGGCACTTTCGACACTGGAAGCAGCTACCAGAAGGAGGTACTTGCTGGAATGGCTTCATCACGCAAGCTGATTTCCCTCAGGCAGGTTGTGAGTGTGATCGATGCCTTGACACCCACTCGTAGCCTTTAAACTCTTGAACAGTCGTGCGGCCTGTGAGGGCCTGTGTCTGTGTTTCTCGGAGGCTGAAGCAAGGGCTTCGGCCCACGTGGGCCTCAACCAATGTCTTCAGCTGTGTGATGAGACAGCCGGATGTGCAGTTGCGGCAGGGGCCTTGGCTGGTTGCCTTCTGCTCTCCTTTGCGCTTTGCATGCCGCCAGCGAGGCTTTCAACGGTCTCACCTGCATGGTCTATGGTGAGGAATGCAACCCTTCAAGCCTGCGTCGCGAAGGCACGCTCACCCTTGCTCCTGAAAAGCAGCTCTTCAATGTATCCTTCCCGCGAAGTTTAGTTGCGAGCGAGGTATTTAGAAAGCGCGGCGTACGGGTGGAACGGATCTCTTCTGCAGTGTGGCTCTAGTTTGGCCAAGTAAGTGCCCCTTAAAGTGCCTGATGCGGGCTCTCTGTAACTCCTCGCTTTGCTCCCTTGTGCACATAGGAGGATTGGGTTTCCCCTCCACGTTCCCATCCCCAAAACTTTGAGCTTCAGGTGAAAGCTTTTCCGGTATAAAGCAAAATCTAGAACCACGGAGCTAGGAAAGGCTGATCTGACTGTGTCACGAGTCTACTAGTTGCCAGGTGAACGTGGAAGCTATGTTACATGGAAGCGTGAAAGATGAGAACAGCGCAGCCACAGAGGTGTTGAGGAGAAAGAGAACGTACCAAAGGGGTTCGAAGCCTCCGAAGTTGCATCAAGATCCTCAACCGTGCTGGCAATCGGCTTCCTTCGCCTTGCGGCGTCACGGTGCCGAAAGGGGTACCCGCAGCGCAATGGAGAGTCGAGGAGAGGACCCAAGGCCGCTTCGCCATTCTTCGCCATCCCGGAGTCGACCAAGCTGCTTGCAACTTCTGGCTCTACCAAGATGCGAACCATCTAGGGTCCAACGCATGCTGTCGGCGTAACTTTGCACAACAACTGCTGGAGAGTCATATTATGGAGCCGGGTGGTAGGTGCTGGTCAGTTTTGGCGGAGAGGGCACTGCGGCTCGAAGAAGCCTGGCTCGAAGTTGATCTTCTACAGGAAGAGAGGTGGGAGTCTTAAAGCCTGCCGTTTGGCAGAGCTGCAATCCTCATGGCAACAGAATGTGAAGGATACCTTTTGCCAGGTCGGGCGATGCAATGTGCCCGGCAGCACATCCTGATCCGTCCTAGCGACCGGCAAAGTTCCGAAACGAGAGCTGAGGTCACCAGATTCGTCTGCTCGTGCAGGGTTCTCGTGAATGAAGAGTGTGCCAATACTGCTTTTCACCACACCTCGAAGTCCCAAGCCAGCTGGAAGCGTGCTGCAAGGTTGCCGTCTTTGCTCATCCCTCTGAAAGGCTCAAGCTGGACGGGATGGCATGAACAAGGCTCAGGCACATGGCACTTGGCAGCGCGTGTCACGGATACGGGATACCAGCTCTCTGCTCCCGGCTGTTTCAAACCGCACATGTTCGACTTACGACTTGGACCTAGGTCAGACCTTAGGGGGATGTAGGAGACATGCCCATGGCTCGAATTCATCATGGGTGCTCCTGGCTTGGGCTTGCTTGATCATTGATGTGATGCGGCCGTGAGAGGAGAGAGGAGTTGAACTCGGGGAGTTGCCGTTGCCGGGCTCCGAAGCCGCTTTGGGCTCAAAAGGGGGGCTTAGAAAGCGGGCGCGGCGCCGCGCCCTTCTGTGTTCCTCCTCCTTGCGGCACTTTCAGGCTGCCTAACGTGCAATCTGGCAAGTGGTGTCACGCGATGCAGAGTGTTGTGGCCAACTCAGGCAATGAAGCCGGTTTGCCTGTGGCTCCTGCCTTTGCTCGCGGTCTCTGTGCAGGACACGCCCGAACAGTCAACATCATTTCGAAGCTGTCTGCTTTGTTTTCTATACAGCAACATCAACATCCCGTGTGAGCCCGGCAATTTCGAGCCGAGGCTCTGCGATGCTCTGTATGCATCTTCCCATCCCGTCCAAAAATTACCCTGGCCACCTATGCTAGCCCTGGTTCTGACCGGAGATGCGGGCACTCCGAAACATCACGCAGATTTGTTTTCCGAGCCTGGTTTCTTCCATTTCATGCTTGTGCGTCGGCAAACCTACTTCTTGACGATCACCTACCTGCAGGAACATGATGCCTCACAGTCGGACAGCAAGAAGGCTAGGACGCGTTGCCGCTCGAAGCGTCTGCGATGCCATTTTGCCAGGTTCTTCATGCTCGGAATGAAACCAAGGCCAGATTGGGAGAGGACAGATTGCAGAAGGAGATCGGCTTCTGCGCGCTGGCGTGTGCCGAGGCTGCTCTTCCCTTCGACGACTTGGAGCCCTTTGGCCGGGAAAACAAAGCACAGAGCTTGACGGAAGCTTCCATCAAGGAGATTCCGGCGTATAATGCACCAGCTATCCACAAGCTATGCCAAGTGACTTGAGATGCGTTCAGGAGAGCAACAGGTCGGGAACTTGTGATTTGGCGTCGCCAGTATTGGCGTGCATAGCATGCTCGGGTTCTTGGTGGTCTCTCACAGGATGGTCGATCAGATCGAGAAAGCCGAGGTGGCTGAGACACAGAGGCCGTCTTGCGAAGAGAGCGAAGGAGCCCGGCTTCCGTGGTTTCTGGCGCAGGTCGGTTTTCCGGGCCTGAGCCTCAGCTTTCGAAACGGAACGCCCATGTTCCCCCGTGGTTCGGGCAAAGGAGCAGGCTGCATGGCAGCTGCATGGGGCTATTCCGGGCTTTTGCTTTTCCAATGAGGCTGTACGTCTAACACCGTCACGGTGGGTGCTTGTGCTTGTAGTTGCAAGCGGCGAAATTCCAAGCCTTTGTGACGGTCATGAGTCAGACTGTCATTTAAGAGTCTGCGGCACGGCATCAATATGGTCAGGGTTCATTTCTCGTATGAAGGAATAGAGGCAATGTGGCGAGCCTGGCAGCTGAAGAGCCTTGCTAAAGGCCCTCACTCGCCTCCGCGGCGCAGCCGTTCAGTCCTTCGACGGCATCGCCAAAGCACAGGAAGCCAACATCGACAGGTGCTCGCAGCCCTGACCAAACGATTTCAAGGTCGGTGCTGACACTTGACAGGTACACGGAGGGAAATCAGTACCGCAAAACACATCCTGTGCGTCTTGGCTGAATTCAGCCTCACTCACTTGCAGTTGTGAGCTGATCGTGGGGCTCGAGGCTACTACTCGTACTGACTTGTGTTCCATGTGTTCCAGACATGTCTCTACCTTTAAACTGCCCTCCAGCCATGGGTCCAGCTCATGATCAACTTTCTCGGTGCATAGCTTGCTAGGAAGCATCTTGCGAAGGAAGAAGATGATGCCACTCTTGCGCATTGATGCTACAGTAATGGGCGAGCCTGTAAGGGCTGACTGCCGCTTGTCAAACCGCCAGGTGTCCAGATGGGCTTTCCCTTCAAATGCAGACTTCCTCTGAGTCGGCAGAGCACTGTCTCTGCCTGTTCGTGGAAGCAGACCGACCGGACAATAAGAGCGGCCGGCAAAACAGAAGCTGGGCCTGTTGGCTTGACCCGTCGTTGGAGTTGTGTTTTCTTCCCACCTTCGGCCAGGTGCACTCTGTGGCTGCACGGACATCAGAAGAAGGGTCGACGCGAAAGGTGCGAGCTCAAGTGTGTTGTGATCCACGCAGTGAGATGCAAGCCAGGATCAATTGGCATCCGCCCAGAAGATCTGGAGGCGGCTTATGTGGGGCTGCCAGAGATTCTGAGAGAAGACCTGGTGCAACATCACTGGCAAACTTTCCGTGCACGCAAGTCAGAAGATGCTGCAAGGAATCGCAATTCGCAGAGGGGAGTCAGGAAATGAGAGGGTTTCCACTGCCGGGGTAGTTTCATACCGCCCTCTCTGATTTTTCATTAGTCCTCTGGCCTCTGGCTTTAGAGCGGCGCTGTCACTTTGTAACATCCGTCCCCTCTGTTCATACGCTTCTGATCTGATACCTTCTCTGTCAGGCTGTGAGGCGGTGCAGCTGAAAGGTAGAGGTAGTTCAACTTTCAGAAGATGAATAGACAGCCATACACACGGAACTCCAATGAGCAGGACGAGCCAGATCTGGGTGCCAGCTCCAAGGACAGCAGGCCGCTTGCAATCTCTTGTCAGAATGCCAGTCCTATGCCATCCTGGCACAGGTCTGAGGTGGCACTCGAGTCCGACGTGGGAGTCCCGGTGTCGACGAGATGTTATTTCTGCCTGTTTTCTTGTTTGACCAAAATCATCACTTCGTACATGTGAGGTGGGTGAGTCGGAAGATGACTTGTCGAAAAAGGCCAAAGTAGAATACCATGATCAAAAATGTCCACGCGCGGTAGACAACCGTGGCCGCAGGACTTAAGCAGAGCGCTGGATGACACTGCGAAGCCTGGAAGCCAAGCTTCCTCTGCACCGCAGGGATCAGGGAGTCTGTGGTGCATACCTTGGTTGGCTAAGGCTGCTTCAGCAGGGATGACTCCTGAGTTCTCCGCGTTGGCATGATGCTGGATCATGACATCAGCCAAATGCTCTGGTGAGTGTTAAGGAAAGACCTTGGCAGTAAAGGAAGCAATCAGTGCAGCGCCTTGACAGAATCCGTTTGCCCCTTCTCTCACTGCCGAAATTGAGGGGTGCCCGGGCAGCTAAGGCGCAGCGATGTGGCGTGGACCGGAACAAGCTCAAGCAGGCTCCAAGTGCCGACCTTCGAATTCTCGATTCTCCTCCGGGATACGAAGGCAGAAGCATTGCTCGAAGAGCATGTGGCGCAGCAGGCGAGAGGCGAAACTGAACTCAAGGCACGGCCGGGCCGCTCTTGCTTGTGTTCTTCTTTCTCTTCTTGCTGCTGTGCTGCTGTGCTGCTGCTGCTGCTGCTGCTGCTGCTGCTGCTGCTGGTGCTGTTGGTGCTGTTGGTGCCATGGGTGCCGTGGGGGCCGCTGGTGCGGTTGGTGCTGTTGTTCTTGTTGTTGCTGTTGTTGTTGTTGTTGTTGTTGTTGTTGTTGTTGTTGTTGTTGTTGCTGTTGCTGTTGTTGTTGTTGTTGTTGTTGTTGTTGTTGTTGTTGTTGTTGTTGTTGTTGTTGTTGTTGTTGTTGTTGTTGTTGTTGTTGTTGTTGTTGTTGTTGTTGTTGTTGTTGTTGTTGTTGTTGTTGTTGTTGTTGTTGTTGTTGTTCTGGTTCTTCTTCTTGCTGTTGCTGTTGTTGTTCGTCGTGATCGTCGTCGTGCCTTTCCCACCTCGGTTTCTCGATCAGAAGGGTCCTCTGTGATGATCTTTGACAGGTGTCAAGATGGATGGGATCCAGAGCTGCCTGGGATCTTGAGGCATGCCAAAGGCCGGTGTCGGCACTGCTAAACGGAACTTGTTTCCAGCATGCACTCCCGTGGCATGCAGAAGTGGCTGGAGTCTCTGCAGAGTCTTTCGGCAGGCTCCTCGAAGAAGTGTCCAGCAAGCAATGCTCTGAGAAGGCCGGAGAAACGCAACGGGTACTGGTTGAAACAGGGAGTACTGAGTGCTACGCTGCTTGTGAGGTCCTGGCAAAGCTCCGTGCACATCTGGAAAAGCTGCAAATCACAAGGACGTCCCATGACAGAACCACCCATCCCCTTTGAAATTGCTGCAGCCTTGCAGAGGACACTTTCGGATGCAGAAGTGGAGCAGGCCGCATGGCTCGTTTCTGCAGACCACTTTGGAAGCTTGAGCTGGTCCGGAGGCGAAGGCTTATGTGACCTCGAGCTGCAAGGAGTTCGTAGCTGAAGCCAGGAGTGCAAAAGGCGCGCTTCGGGCTCGGTGCCTCGGAGCTCTTCGTTGCCATGTCGTTAGGCCGGCCGACTCTTTTCTTGCACGTGACAGCTGGGTCCCAGCCCCGGTTTCTCGAGCTTTTGCTCGGCGGAAGGGTTTAGGGAGCTTCGCCCTGCGCGCCCTGCACCAGGCACAAGGCACCAGCCTTCCTGTTTCTGAATCCTCCTCTCCAGGTTTTGAGCCTCAAGGCCGGCCCCGGGCATTCTGCAATGGTGTCGCTGGTGTAGTGCTCTTTGCATCAGGTCCAGCAGGTTGGGGAACATGGTGCGCGAGGTTTCCAGAGAGATCAGGTGCCTGCACTGCAGCTGTGACATGCTGTGACCATGGCTTCGAAATTTGGGTGCCCCCAGGAGACCTTGCTCAGATCAGTGACCGCGCGACCGGCAAAGGACCGTTTCCTCGACAGCTGTCAGGAGCTGTGCTGCCATATTGGCGGTGTTACTGTAAGGACGAGAAGGGCATCAGTGAACAGAGAGGATTTCAGGAATTGGAGCCTGGCAGTCAGACGTCAGCAGCGAGTGGAAGTGGCTCGCCACTGCTGAAGCTGTTGGACACTTGTTTCAGAGGCACGGAGAAGTCGAGCACTGCGTGGCCATGAGGTGAGAAACTTGCTTGTCGGCCGTGCGTTGCTCTTTCACACTGCTTTGCTCTCTCTCTCTCTCTCTCTCTCTCTCTCGTCTTCGGATGTGGTGCAGGTGTCGTGTCAATGGCAAGGACAGGGTTGCACACTGCCAGGCAGAACATGCAATTGACCCAAGGGGCGGCTTGGCCCGGGCCGGTGTCCTCCAGTACAACAGCAAAGCCGCAAAGCCAGCACGTGTTCGTTTAAACGAACCTTGAAGCGAAGCGGAAGCCCCGCCCGAAGCTCGGGGTCTCAACTTGTGGAATTCACGGATAGAGCCATGTCCAAAGTCGAGGCCTTCTAGGCCCTAGGCCAGGACACAGGACAGGTCTGAACAGTGGAGTGCTAGATGCAGCTAGATCCCCCACAGGATTGTGCGAAGTCACCAGGCAATTTGCATGTTAGGCAATATATGATACTGTAATGCACATGGAAAGGAGAGGATGTGGTGTTTCGTGGAGGCTTCCGTGACGCAGAGGGACCGCCTAATTCAGGCCGCGCCGTCACGCGGTCAAGTGTTCCAGGATGAGTCAGCCTGCAGAGAGACAGACATGCTCCTGCAAACTCGCCAAGCGTCAGAACTGAACAGAGCCATGCAGCTCAAATCTCCGCATGGCGGGTGGGGCCTTGGCTCGTCCAATCAGTTGTCGCTTGGTCCCCAGTGTGCCTGCACTGGAAGCTGTTTTGCCGGTATACCAGTTGCCCACTGTCCAGGTGACCTGCATCAATACTCTCCTATCCATATTGTCGCTTCTGCTGCCAGGCAGGTTGGAGTTGGAACAGCTGTTTTGCCTTGGTTGGGTGTTTCATCAGGAACGGAATTTTCGGTGAAGAGGGGCCATGGTGCTGTCCGCCATGTTCCTCCGAAGGCGAGGACGCTTGTCATGACAGCATGTTGCTTCATATCACCGTGTTCGTGGGATCTGCGGAGGCCCGCATGTGTACCAGTACTGATGCTGATGCTCTTTGCCGCTCCTGCGGCCGGCAGCTATGATGGTGCCCTTTCCCAGGCACCTTCCGTCCAGAGTCCAAACAGTGAGATTCGTTCCACTGCTGCTCTGACTGCCGCTACGATGAGGCTGCAACAACAGCCTTCGGCATTGTCTCGCAGTTGCAAGACTCCTTGACTGGCGGTCTGGTGCAGGCCGCGCCCCATTGATTCGTACGGATGCTTAGGCTTAGGGTCGCTGCAGCCCGACGTCCAGGATCCAGTTCTCGCCGGCGTCGAAACAATCGAGCGATCGGTGCAGAAAGCCTCTCGAGAGGGCGCACAGATACAGGCTGTATCTGTGATTGCAAAACACGGAAACACGGAAATGTGTTCGAGTGCACCGTCGTGAGTTGCTCGGCCAGGAGCTGCTGGCTCAGATCAAGACTGCCCTTGATGTCGAGCTGTCGCATCTGCAGTTCGAGGCCAGAGGCTTTGAGGCTTTGAAGCGATGGCATGAGTTTGGTGTTGGTGATGGTGCTAGGAGAGTCATGCAGCAGCGCGTAGTGAGCTCAACGTATTGGATCAGCGACTCCAAGCCGCTTGGAGTCACGACCATGCATGGTACCGATGATTCCCATCCTGCTTGGATTGGGTCCTGAGGCATGCCGCACTGGAGCCCGAGCAGACTTACATGCTGATGGATTGCAATCTCAGCACAAAGCCTGCTGCTGGCTCAGTTCGCAACACCAGGCGGAAGCTGCATCCACGCTCGAGTCTCGCATGTCTCAGGTCGCCAAGCAGAAGCTGCTGCCTGGACTGCTTTCGCGGAGAAGTGCCCTGCAGATACTCTTCACCTGGAAGGGCGAAGGCTATTGCAGGGACATGCAGACTGTCCGCGTCTGGGGCGGGACTACAAACAGCAGCGCGGTGCATGCAATCGAATCCAGGATGAGCTGGACTCTGCCACATGCGCACAGGCACACCACAAGAGGGTGCCTTGCGACCTTCGTCTGGCTTGTGAGGCAAAGGTACTCGACGCGATGAACACAGCACTGGACACGATCGAGGCACAAGGACGAGAGTATTTTGGCCTTGCCAAAGCCAAGTCCTCTGTCGCTTGTGTACTGGCTGGGATGGGGCAGCCGGGTGAAACTGCAGATGACGCTTTGAAGTCCTGTCATAAGCTGGACGAGGAATCGGAAGTGCAGGCTTTCATGCTCTCTCTGCCATCTTTGCCGCAACTAAGCACCTGCGAGCCAATGGCGGTCCTCCTTCAGGAGGAAGCTACTGGTGGAGTCGTGGACTATAGCGACCTGCCGCACAATGCACCAGCCAAGACATGTTCCAGCGCTTGCTGCAGCTCACTCCTACAGGATGACCCCGTCGTGAATGCAGATGACTACGAGCAGGCGCATGATGAGAAGCCCCCGATTGCCCTCGACGGGTGCGTGGCGTGGTTCCGTTCAGAGGATGCGGCGGTGCCATGGCCGAGCACCATCGGATCGCATGAAGGACAGGTTGTTAGTCGCAAGGCTGACACGAGCCTCGAAATCGGCCACGGCGCCAAGCGCGGGGTTCGCTTCCTCCGCGGGGACGAGAAGACCCGCTTCGACTTCGGAGAGGTGCGTTTGTGCAACTATCAGTGTTTTCGGGTCCCTTAGGGTTTCTTGGGAGCCCATCGTAGATGACCAACAGGTGCTGCAAGAGACCTACAGCATCTGCTCAATCACGCGTTACACTGGAAAGCCTTATGGTCGGATTCTTCAGGGTTCCGAAGGAAACTGGTTGCATGGGCATGTAGCTGGGAAATCTGGGGTCAGCTGCGAAGGGCAAGCCATGCCTTCAACTGGAGAGCTGGATTGGGTCGTGGTCTGCTCAACCAGCGATGACTCGAGGGATGCACTCGTAAATGGAGACGCTGTTTCGCAAGATTCTTGTCAGCCTGCAAATGTGAAACTGAAGCAGAACCTTGTCATCAATCATGGAAAGATGTGGGAGGACGTTTCCAAGTGGGCAGTGATGGAGGTCATTGTTTGGAACAGGGTCGTGTCAGTGCAAGAGATGAAGCAAGCTTCCGACTACCTGAATGCAAAGCTGGCTGATGGCGTCGGTGTGGACTTGAAAATCAGCGATGCAGACGGGGCCTGTAACGGGCGCCGAGTGCAAGTCCAGATGTCGTCGAAGACTGGAGAAGGTTGGTACCACTATGCAGACAGCGGTGATGCAACGGCTCCTTGGCTGACTTTGACTTGTGTAGGACAGTGTAGGATTTTCTTTTGAAGTTGGAAGTTGCAACATATCGCGGAAGCAGTGCAGGACAAGCGCCAGTATCTGTTGCCTGATTCGTCCCTTGGGACCTACAAAGTCCTTGAAAGCCCTCTCCCAATCGTCAGCCAGCGGAACCCCGATGAGCTCGCGCCCTGGGGACACTCCTCCCTGCGGGGCAAGGCCTTCGTGGTGATGGGCAACCAGAAAGGTCCAAAGATGCTCTCAGTTTTCGCGATTGACAACAACCTGACGATCCGGATTTCCATCAACGGGACGGACTTGAAAGACGTGGAGCTGGAGCATGGCTCCGCAAGCTACATCGAGGGGGACTTTGAATACTCTCGTGTCCTGCTGATGGGAACTCGTAACTTCATTCTGACGATGAGTGGCCTGGACCGGACATACAGCACTCCCGTGGCGCCAGCCGCCAAAACTATTTACGGCCCATGTGCCGAAGACTGGTATGTGACAAGCCTTAAGGGAACGCCCGTCACCATCAAGCAGGAATGTTCTGATGGAACTTCGCATGAGTATACTGCCGGTACGGTGAGCTGGAGAATGCACGACGATGCCCGAACCTCTCACTACACAAACGGTCCTCAGGTCAGCAACGATGCCTTGTCCAAGTGCGAGACGTGGACAGGGAGCTTGGCTGCTGCTGTCAAAAAGTAGCTCAGTAAATGCCAGCCATACTTACTTTTGTTTTTTGGCTCTTCGAGTGAAGTGTCCGGTGCCATGAGAACCGCGCGACTCAGGTGCGATGACTCAGCAAGTTGCCTTTCCTTGCACGATGCTTTTTGTGATGGTCGAGAATGGCGAATCTGCTCCGTCACTGCTGAGACCTTGAAGAGTGCTTGTCTCAGGCTGCACGTGTCATTGCATGGTGTGCTCATGTGAGGAGCTAGGGGAGTGGCGCCTGTCGCGTAAGCTCAGGTGTCGATGCGGGAGCGACAGATGCTTGCACCAAGGTGAAGGGTGCCTCTGCTGCCTCTCTGATAGCAGACACGCGGTCGCCTGCAGGACCCTGGGGAAAAGAGCACGGGGTGGTTGTGTCTTTCGTTGGAGGGTGAGCATGACATGACTCCTGAAGGATGGTACCGTGTCGATCAGAGCAAGAAGACGTGCAATGCTACCTGCAGTGCGCTCTCATTAGTGTGTTCATCGGACAGCTCTTTGCTTAGCTCCGAGAACAAGATGAAGATAGCAGTTGGAGCAGTTGGGGGAGCTTGTTCCTCAGTTGAAGATGCTCAGAACGGCACACTGGCAGCAACTTTCCGACCAGATCCCAACGATGCTGGAACCACAATATGCACTCCTGCAAGTGAAAGTGTACCGTTGGACTGTGGCCAGGAAATGCCAAACGATGAGACTGTTCGCATCTGTTACTGTGGCTCCGGTGTCGATGAGCTGTACAAGATGGCAAGCAAAGGCAGCAATGTTTGCCCCGACAACTACCGAGCGGTTGAGTCCAAGGAAGACTGCCAAGCGGCAGCTGAGAGCGATCTCGCTGGCATTCCTCCTCCCATTGCGTGGGATGCGCAGGATCCCAACAACCAGGGTTCGCCTTCAAGTTGCTTCAAAGATCTGGAGACTGGCAAGGTGCGCTTCAATTCCATTTCCATGAAAGGTTACGAAGAGCTCGATGCGTGGCAGACCGCAGACCACCGCAAGATCTGCAAAAAGGCTTTCGAGGGTCCGCAGGAGGAGCCCATGTGCAAGTTTACCGCCACAGAGGACCAGACCTTTCTGGGGGGCATCTCCTACGACCGCGTCACTGGCTCCACGGCGAGTGCAATCACCTTTATGCCGCCAGGGGTCTTTCAAGGAGAGACCCAGATGCCGTTTGGCATTTCACAGATCAAGCTGATCAGTGACAAGAATGCCACCTGCAAGATCAAAGGCAAGAAATACAAGCTGCACGGTCAGTCGGGAGTTTTCTCGCTCAGACTAAAGGACAAGAACCTCAGTCCACTCGATGTGATCACGTGCAATCAGAACATTATGGCCGTCGGCTTTAAGAACATGTCCGGTGCCGCCGCTTCCTCGGTATGAGCTACGGCATGTCCCGGCATGGCTGTTCCGTTTTGTGTGTCGAGTTTGCGTCACTGCCCCACTCCGATTGGTCTTAGGTTGCAGAGCCCCGATTGAATCTGCTGTCGGCAACTGCATGCCAAGCAGCGAACATGCGGGGAGTTGGAGGCTGTTGACTCTCTTCCGCTCTCCCCCTCCCTGTCCAGACATGTGATGTGATGTGGGTGGGCGCGAGGCCTGCAGCTGGACACAGTGTTGCACCTGGTGCGCAGGGGTAGGGGTCGAGATGCCGAGAGTGTGTGATGCAGAGAGCCATTGTGCACAACTTCGAGCGTGAGCCGTCTTGTCAGGAACCAGGGTTTGTGTTCGTGAAAGTCCTGGAGAAATCCGCCAAAGGCGAGATCTATACAATTGGAAAAGAGGACGGGGAGCAAAGAAGCACGAGGCTTGCAAGCTAGTCAGCTAGTCTTTCCCCCGTCAGGAGTTCAACGAGCTTCTTCAGCCGTACAACAAATATCCGGTCGTGAAGCGTATCTGTCCATCGTGCGCAGCAACTCACACCGCTTCTCGTCTCGGGGCACACAGCTATGAGATAATGGAGTGGGTATCGTAAACTTAGCAAGTGCTGCCGTTACAATAACGCTTCCCGCTTCAGTACGCACCTCTGACTGAATGATCTCAGGAGATCGTGTATCGTCGGTTCACACCTTTGAAGGAGTATTCGCCATACGAATCGCTGCTTGGCGAGACATATCGAACGGGTCATCGCAGGGCAAGAAATCGATTTTCACGCGTCGTGATACTGTGAGCAAGGATGTCTTGTGCGTGGAATGAAGACCCCGACAACGTGGAGGGGAAAGACTTCAAGCTCTTCAGCGATCTGAATGACGCCTTCGCGGACCGGCCTCCACCAAACCCGGAACACCTGAAAACACCTTGAGATCTTTCCTCATGCAGGACGAGCACAAGTGGTCCGCTTGCAACTTCGCTCCGCTGGACAGTTTCAGGCCTGAGAGTGTAGGGCTGTGTTGATGAAAACCATTTTGACTTTCCCTCTCTGCAGGGGTTTCCCTTTCGAGAGTGGTCCCCTCCTCGCGCTTGGCGAACAGTGGGACAGCATTCCTGTGAACGCAGGCCATGCGCCACACCATGCAGATTTTCTGCAGTCGGCATTCACGGGCTGTGTCGCTTTCACAGGAGACTCGACGGGGAAGTGCACGACAGACAAAGGTGGGCTGAGTGGTGAGGAGCTGTGGAGTTGCCTTTGCGTGTAAACCGTCGCAGGCGGCCGTGCTACGGCATTTTACATGCTCCTTCCCATCGTCCCACAGAAGTTCAGGCGCTCCGGAGTTCGAAGTGCAATGAAGTACTCTCCAGAATCGTGTCATGGCTGCCTAAGCCTCACCTGAAACTTTGAGGCTCGGCTTGTCCGTCGATCAAGATGGCCGCATCACGAGCCTGGAGGAGACAGAATTCAATCGACGATTTCAAGAGAGCAGGCCGGAGATCCACGAGGATTAAAGGGGGGGTTGGCCATCGCGCTTTTCACGAAAGCTCGAGTTCAGTTTTGCTTTTTGCAGAAAGACAGTCCAAGGATAAAAAGGAAGGTATTATTGATAGTCAATTAGGGGGAAGCGAATTCTCTGGTTTGGGTTGGGGGGACCGTGTGATGGACACTTTCAGGCTATTTGACACAGTGCTGCCTTCAACAACTGCAGAAACGTCACGAGAACGCCGTCAAATAGATGCTGAAATTTCGTAGTCCGCATTGTCCCATTTACAACAATCGCACATGAGGGTCTGCAGGCGTGCTCAGGGCGCGCTGAGGGCGCTAAGGACGCGGGGTGTGCAGGGCGCGGGCGAGGAGGGCGCTAAGGGCGAGTGTGCTGGGGGCTGTGGGCGAAGAGGGCACGCGATGAGGCGCTCATGGCCAAGCCGTGTGTGGTTTAGGCGTCAGCTGCAGGGCATCAGGCCGAAAGCTGAAATTGCATGGCTCAACCATAGTGAACGACGTGCATGTTCTGAGTTCATGCAGCGAAACCATATGCAGAGCGGCGCTGCTACATGCAAGGGGCTAAACGCCCACTTCTTGAAGCAGTACTTGTGGCTTGAGAACATAACGGCCGAAGTGGTGGTGTATCAGAACTTGAACCGCGACTCTGTGCCACCCAAAGACCTGTGGAGTGTGGATGAGTCAACACCGATTCTGCAATTTTGGTTCCCCGAAGTTTGCTGGCCCTGCCAACATTTTCTGCGCTTCGCGTCTCAGAACCCTTGAATCTAGTGATGCTGTTCTCTTCACAAATGCAAGCTACCTTAACCGCACCCTGCCATGTCCCCCAGCGTCTGCTCGCACGTAGGTTTGGGCAAATGTCACGGCCCAAGGCTTCCCCCAAGTGCTGACAGGATTCCCGACACGCCCCGAATATTTCATTCAAGTGCTGGAGGGTTCTGGACCACGGCCCGCATTGGTTTCCACGAATTCGGTACCGCGACCAGAATGCTTTCCCCCGCGTACTGGCACATCCAACAACATTTTCGCCCAAGTACTGACGGGATTCAGAATCACGGTGCTTTACTTCCCCACATGTTTATATCCGCTGGATTCAAAGGTTTGGTAGCAACTTTGGGATTATATGAGAAAATCACAATATCGTCAAATGGACACCACGCGTCCAAGGCACCCGAGGGGAGGGAAGGGGGGGGTAAATTCATACATAAATACCGGGGTTTGTTAGTACACGAGTTTTGTAGTAAAACCAGTCCAGCTGAGTAGCTATGCAACTCATCCGTGGGTCCTTCCTCCACAGCTTCGTGCGCATTGTGTGGATGTTTGGCAGGGCGGCCTGGTGTGGCTTGTGAGCATTTCGACAGATTTAACCCTCCTTTTGTCCTCCTCCTCCTCCTCCTCCTCCTACGGTTTACTACTACTACTACTACTACTACTACTACTACTACTACTACTGCTACTACTACTACTACTTCTTTTACTATGAGCATTCTGACAGATTTAACAAGCAACTCCGGCCAGGTACCACATCATTCTGCGAAAGTGCCAGGAATGCTCAAAAAGCCACAGGTGCCCTGAGCAAAAGCTCTCGCTAGGCAAGTCAGCTGCCGACCTGCCCCAGGTATGTTTTCTATCGGCGGATGACAAACCTTGACACCTATGAGCCCTTCAAAGCGCTGGCCTGCGACTGGAAGGCACGCTGTGAGAGCTTCCAGATCCGGCAAAGACTCCGGCTGACGTTTGCGAGGCCGACGAGGCGAACGCTTACCTTGTGGATTTCAAGCTCTACAGCACACTCCAGGAGAGCAAGGAGCCCCGATTGAATGTCGCACGATGTCCCCTGCCGCAGGACGCATTGGCGGATAACAATGCCTGGGATTACTGTGCCTTCGACGGTGCCTTGCAGTCATCCGTGCAGTTTATGGCTTTTTCCCAGGCTTGCAGGTCAGGTCACTCGAGTATGCATAGAGGCAGTCCTATACGCAAACATGTCACCTTAACGCGGCCTGCGAAGGAATCCGCTGGGGCCAGGGTCTGGTGTGTTGGGCAAAAGCAGACCAACCTACTCGAGATGCCTCCTACCCAAGGTTTTTCACCCCTTCCGAAACAGCATGCAGGTTTGTTTGAGCTTACAGCCGTAGTCCGTAGACCTCGTGTCAGATACCAACCAAAATGTGATTTGATCAAAGTCTGTGAAGCGAGCAAGCACGCTTGTGTGAGACCCCGTCCATGCAGTTTTTTGGTCGTAGTCCGGAGCGCTTTGTCAGCCTCCTCGAGGCAACGGATTTCCGGGCACGTGCAGTCCAACTGGGGAAGCGCCGGTCTCGGTCACCCTGAGAGTTATTTTGTCATTGTCGGAGAAGAGCATGCCAAACTGTGAGAGCATCCTGTCGAGCATCTCAGGCAAAGTCTGGCCAGGCCAGCTACATTCCAGTGTCCGGCTGCACAGGGACATCGAGCAAGGCACGAGTTGCAATTCTCTTGTGAGTACCGCACGATGCGGCAGCGTGGGTGATTGCAAAGTGAGAGGCGGTTTCCTTCGAGCTCTACGAAGATGAAGACTTGGATGTTGATGACTTGCAGGTGGGAGCTCTTGACACACCGCGAGCTTCACGTAATCATCACTTGTGACCTGTGGTTTTGGCATGTATCAATTTCGTGTTGATTTCTGAAACTCAGAGGATGTGGAGGATGCCGCCGGCGATGCGGTCCGAGATGTCAAAGATGCAGCGCTTCCGTCGGCCATTGTGCCGTCGGAAGGTATGGTCTCCTGGTTTAGGACCAAGGGCTTTGGCTGAAATACTTGTCAAATGCAGTCTGAGCTCCGCATACGCTTGCCATGCAGGAGTGAAGATGCAGGAGCGAGTTGGAAGAGCAGTGTGGGACCCTTGACTGCCACCTGCCTGCACCATGCCAGAAGCGATGGACTTCCAAAAATCCGCCTGCTTCGGCTCTGAGGCAGAGGCAAAGGCGGGCAGTATTCGCACGGCCACCCGTCACTACGGAGCAGAGCTGAAGCATGTGTACGGTGATAGCTGCTTGGATTCGACTACTTTGTTCTTGCAGACAATGGCAAACTCGGCATGTGCTTTGCATTCAAGGCAAGTCAAGCTTCAGTTTTGGAGACATTCTGCCAGCCACCTTTACGAAGCTGTGATGCAGGTGTTGGAGGTCAAGCATGTTTACACCAGTGTTGCAGTTTCCGGAGATGTCGCGCTTGCATGCCTCACCACTGCTTATCTTCCCAGGATGTGCTCCTTGTCGGCCTACACCGGAATTACGCAGGGGAAAATTCTCCGTGGAGAGAGACTTGCTTTCAAACACAAAAGACCACGAGGGCTCATGGCCACCTACCGGACGCATCATGGAGTAGAATTGCAGTGATTTCTTGTTGTGCCTTTTGCACACCGCACTCTTTTGGGCTGACTATTGGAAGCTTTGAGGAGCTTCTGGCATGGTCATGCCGATGGGCAAGCGGGCAGCGTCTTCTATGGCGGCCAGTGGGTGCGAGACGAGAAGAATCTGACCGGAACTCGAAGCTGGATTGTTGCCTGCTCCAAGTCTATGCTGCATACCTAGCCGACCGGACCCCGCCGTCGGCCGATGTCAGCCGTATATATTGTTGATTCTTGCCCAGTGCTCTTGCCTGTTGATCTCAGGCTCTTTGTGCTTCGAATCAACATGAGTACATCTTCTTGGATGGCACGAGTCTTAGAATTGCGGCTACATCACGGCTCAGAAGCGTACATGCATGCAACTCCAAGGCGTTGAGGTGCCTGCCAAGTTTGCAGGGGGCGGAGGCAACACAGCAATCGGAGTGAACGATGGTCCCGAAGACGTGCCTTGTCAGCACAGTCCCTTCTTGTCTGGTCTTGGATGAGCAGATCGCATAGCTGTGTGAGCCCAGGAGCATTCAGACTGGGCAGTGGCGGAAGTCATGACCTGGGATCGAGTCTTGACCCGCGACCCGGTGGACACGTGCTTCGGGATGTTGCGTGGAGTCGCATCCTTGCGAGAGTTTCGTGTGTGCGTCAGCCTCTCTGAGCTGAGGCTCCGAAATGAACGACGTGCAAAATTACCTCCGCGCAAAGGCAAAAACTTGCCAACCGGAGCAATCGGCACAGCGGGAGCCTCGGGAGCCCTGGGCCAGGGCCACTCTCGTGGATGCAAATGACGACGGTAGCAGCGCAGCTGTAGCTGAGATGAGGTGCGATACGGCCCCCTGTGTGTCGCTCTTCGCACCTTGGTGTCTCAAACATGCTGCAGTTTTCGAGGCCGTCGTCGGTCAGCAGAGTCTGGCCGTAGCGTGAGCTCTTAGGTCGGCCCAAATCGTCACAATGTCATGTTCCGCAATGATGATGGGACAGCGACAGCAGCTCGCATGACATCATGTAACGGTAGTGATTCGTGATCGGAGCCCCGCTCTTCATGTCATGCATTGAACCTGGCCCTGGCGTGTCACTCACGCTTCAGGTCAAAACCTACAGTGGGACGGCGATTACCTGTGTTTGCAAAGGATATCCGCAAGCTGCGCTGGTAGTGTCAATGTCAAAGTCAGGGCTTTGCCTGTCAGGACACTGCGTCGGGCTGGTGGGCTCTTGGAGATGCGACGATGGACCCTTCGGTGGGCAATACACCATCAGTCCGAGCTACAGCGACGACTGGACACCGGAGACCAATCGTGACAGCCTGCTGCTTTGCACAGTCGCAAGGCCGGGTGCATGGCACATGACAGCCTTTTGCTTTGTAGCTTTGCAGAAGGCCTGTCTGGTCAGAGAAGGGCGAGGTCGACAGCAAACGCTTCGCCCTTCAAGCCGGTGTGTCGAAAGAACTCGTGAAGGACTTCCTGCGCCTTGCACTCTTCCATAGCCCGTTCTCGTAGATGCGCGACCAGGACACGTCTTTCACCTTGACTGCGACAATCCGACGAGATGCCGCCGGCGGGCCCCAGCATCCTGGCAGCATTGTGAGCGAATGGTTGAGAGAAGATGCGCGTGATTTGTGCCAGGACGCTCTTCAGCTCCAGCTATGACCGACCCCTACATAAGCGGTTAGCGAGCTGTTCTCTCTTGGGAGCGAGTGCATTATCCGATGCGTGGAGGACTCTTCCATCGTGGACAAGGATCTTCGAGCATTTGTCAGCGCGGACCGTGCAGAGATATCGCGCAATGTAGATACCAACATTGCAGTGATTTCCTGACAGCATTTTGTGACCTGATTGCCAGGACTCAACGTTCACCTTCCACTTCGGTTTCATGGCTGATTGCAATGGCATTTCTTGTGCTGAGACGAGCTTTGATAGTTGCATGACCCATCTGGATGAAGCTGAGGCGGCCAATCATGCCAGACAGCACCAACAGAGATGAGTGTGGCCGGTGAGTGGCAGCATTTGGCTTTCATGTACGACATGGAGCAGATGCTTGCCTCAGAATCCATGAGCTGGCGAGTTCAAGAGTCTGCAGAGCCTCTTCGGATTGTCTAGCTTAAGCTGAGGAACGAGACCAGGATTTATCTCAACGCGCTTGAGGTGAAGTCTTGCGCCTTTACGTCCCTTGGATGCACTCCTGCCGACCTGGGTAAACATGCCAGTGCTTTGACAAGACATGTGAATCATTGTGCAGACGCACGTCCTCGCGGCGCAAAGCAATCAGCACCGAGTACCGACGAACGTTCGAAAGTTGGCTTAGGTCGTCATTCTCGCCGGATGATTCTGCAAAGTTAGTACTTGGTGCTTACAAAGACTCGAACATGTGGATCGGAGCAATGAAGGACTGAAAGCTGGGGCAGCTACTTCAAGAAACTTAATCATATGCTTGGTCGGAAGTTGCCGCAAATGCCAGGAAAGCGCCATTTATGCGCAGACTTTGAGTACACCACTCATCGGGCGCTTGGCAGGTGATTTGGCACTGCCGAAGGCAGGTTGTGTAGTCCCCGTTTCTCCCAGAAACCCCATCACCCCCAGCCCCAGTCTGTCATCGCTGCAGGCCATGGTGTGGTTCTCGCACGAAGACAGCTGGAATCGGAAAAGCTTCGTCGAGGCTGTGAGCTTTTGTGCGAAGCGCAAGATGAAGCGACTCATCTGAATGCAGTGGCGTTAAAGGCTTCAGGGCCACAAGAAGGACTGCCCCTTTGTGCACACTGAGGTTTTTAGAGAACCAACGGTCCCGTAGCGTGAGGGCATGGGCCACATGTTCGTGCGTCTGCTGATGAGGTTGGCGCATTTCGAAGACTACTGCACGCAGAACAGTGATGGCGTCTTCACTGTACGTCCTCGGGTGGCTCCTGGCGACCAGTGGGCACCATACGCGGGTCCGGTGCTTGGCAGATCCCTTTTTGAGCCAGGGTGGCTCTTGCTTGAGCTCGAGTTGCCTCCGACATGGGTCGAGCACATGATTGAAGTGTGTCTGTAAAAATGCAGAGAGATTTCCCGCACTTTTGAGATTGCGTTGTCAACCAGACCAAGGTGCGCAGGAGAATTCCTGGGTGCAGATCGGCAATGGAGCCAGCACGAAAAATCCAGTGGAGCCCTGCAAGACCTACGAGCAGCAGTTTGGCGACAAGCCCGTCTGGGGAATGGATGGAAATGCCAACCGATACAAATCCTTTCTTGCCTGCAAGGCCTCCTATGGATTTATCCCGTATTCTGCTGACAAGGGACAAGGGAAGTGCGAGAAGGGTGACGCCATAGCGCACGACAACGCGGCCAAAACTGAATCTGCCTGCAAGATGCATTGTGTGAAGGAAAGCAGTTGTGCATTTGCAAGCTGGTCGGCTGCAGAACTAGATGGAACGTGCTCGTTGTTTTCCACTTGCGACGCCTGGACCGCTGCATCATCATCCATGACGTGGGTAAAGAAGCCACTGCGCTGAGCCTTTCTGCTGGTCCCCTTTGCCAGTGGCACCGCGGCCAAGGGAAGAGCCAGTGGGACAAGATCTGCTGCAATGCCCGCATACTTCAGTGATTGCGCACGGATGGTCAACTGAAAAGAAGCTTCTTGCATGAGCGCACTTGTAGCAATCCGGACGCAAAGTCTTGCATTGCTTGTGATCAGATCGTTCTTCATTGTGGAAGGCGCTTCTAGTTTTAAGCTCCATTCAGCCCATCCGCGATCCCGAGGACACGGGGTCTTCACAGGATCGTTAGCCTATTTGCCCTGCACTGCTTTCCAGGACGGCTAAGGAAGGGGCCAAAGCTCTGCTCTCGGAAAGATCTCTTCGGACACCCCGGTGCGCTCTTCTGCGCTCTGTCCTTGCAGCGAGGCTGCCCCGGAAGCCGCCTGAGAGAGGCACCGGCGAGAATCCGGTCATGCGCTCCAAACCGTCATCCGAGCACGGCAGCACGGCATCTTGCCCGATCTCTAGGGGTGGCAGCAGACTGCAGGTTCGGATCGTCTGTGACGGGAGGGCAAGATGGCTCGAACTGTACATGTTCAAGCGGTACAGCAGAATACTCAGAGCAGAATCTGATCCAAGCTTGACAGCAGAAACAGCTAACACCACCAACTCTCCGACTACGATTTCCCAATCCTTTGTCCTTGCACTGTCTGGAGTGCTGTGCCGTTGCCTCAGACACTAGTTTCAGCAAGAAAACAGGTGCGCTTCCTGATTTCCGCTTGTCTGGCTGAGGTACCTGATAAGACTCTTGCCATGGCTACATTGTGGGAGCAGGGTGCAGCTGACAGACAGGCCTGGGAAGACCTCATTGCTGCCCGTTCGGGTATACATTGTGAACAAGAGCAGCACGCATCGCTCCATGTTCCGAACATTCCCCAACCGTCCACTGCACACCACCTGATCAGCGAGCCTCCTGTGCCGGAAACGTGTGTATCTGGTGGCGTATCCGGAAGGGGGGGGGAGGGGGTGGTGGAGCACAGCCTCATGTACGACGCGGGCGTCCTAAATCGGGGTGCCTCCTCAAACCTTTCCACCCTGTCATTCCCTCCTTCCCTGCTTCCCTCGCTACCTGCCTCCCATCATAACATTCCGCCACCTCCGCCGCAAAGCCCAACCAAAGCAACTCCGTGTCTCGCATAAAGCAGTCTTGTGTCACTGCAAGATGCAGTTTGATATTTCTTGAAGCCTGCAGGTGGTGATCGACGCTGGTGCTGCCATTCGACTGAAGCGCCTGAGTTGAAGCAGCTAGCAGCCTCCGAAAGCTCTTAAGTGTCTCCTGCCTCTCAAAAGCGACTCAGCAACGATCTTGTATGTTTCTTGCCCCACTCACCTGTATGCTCGAGACAGGGGGGTGAGAGATTGCTTCTGGACTCGGTGTGCTCGATGTTAGCTGTTTGTCTGCAATGCTCGAGTCACAGTCTTCCAGTACCAAAGCAACTTGCAGGCGGCTTTTGAAGCTTCATGTTTCGTAAGGCGATTGGAGCGCTTCGGTGGTGAGCTCTTCACAACGAGTGGCGTTTATGCCGAGGCTCCTGCCCAATGCCGCATGTCTTCCAGCAGCGCGCAGAGCCTTGTCAGGTGCGAGACGAGCATGCAAGAGCCCTTCTGCAGACGCTGCCAGTTGAGCTGAAGGCACTTGATTTCTGTTTGTGTCGCAGACAGCGGCAATGTCTGCGCCTTGACGTGTTTGGAGGTCCTGGAGCCTCGACCAGAGGACTTCCCACAGAGAGCAGAGAGCCAGCAGCATGCGCACTGCCACATGTCGTATCCTGCCGTCGCCTGCCGCAGCTGTTTTATCAAGTGCACCTGGCTGCCTCAGCTTGCAAGCCGTGACCATCCGTGACCGTTGCTTCCGGATGGCAGCCCACTCGCCTCCTTTTCAGGCCTACTGCTGTGTTGTCCTTTGCCTGTGGGTAGCTGCGTCGAAAAGCAGTCTCACGTCACCTCATGGACACAGCATTTTGGGCTTCAATCTCCAGGAGCGGGGGCACTGGTACGATCAAAAACTGTGTGATCGACTAGACACTTCAAGAAAGGAACGCTGAAGCTTTTGACAAGGCACCGTAGGACAGTGCAGCCATGGGATCCGAGCAGTCGCTCCCTGTTGCTGCCTTCAGCCTCGGTGACAGTCCCGTTCAGTTACGTGGCCTTGTGAAGCCATTCATGCTTCCCCTGCTTTATGCATCAGGTTCTCAGAGGAAGCGATACTTTTTTTGGTGCTGGGAAGGCTAGAATCAGATTTTGGAAAGGGAAAGCGTGAACTGAGGCTTGCTGCCACGGTTCTATTCCATGTTCCCTCAGCCTCGAAGCTTCGGGGCTCCGCCTGTTGCTCAGATGACTCAAACTCATCCGCCGCGAGTTTTCTGAAATTGCTCAGAAATTTGAGGAGCCTCTAGATGCCTACCATACCTCCATCGTCGTGGGCCAGGCCTGCTCCGCCTGTGCATTTTTCTGTGAGCATCCGTTGCTCCATCTTAACCCGTCAGGTGGAGTATTCTTTCAGTGGCCAGGGAATCCGAGCACCGCAGCGGCATGTGGCTAAGCATCCCGAAGCTCTCCGTGACACCACGATATGCCGACCGAGGAAACGAAACCCCTGGTTTCCCATTCGATGCTCAAGCGGAACACTGAAGTGCAGCTCGGTTTTGATTACGTCGACTGGGATGAATTGGCGTTCGAAGCCTGACAGCTCGCTCCGAAAGTCTGCTTGTTTCCACGAACAGGAGAACCATTGGGCACACGCCCTTCTCCGGTTATCAGGCCTGGTGGGAGTCAGTGTTTCTGGATCCGACCTGAGTCCCTTTGGGGGGCATCGGCATGTTCCGTGCTGAGTCTTTCTTCTCTTGATCAGATGGTGGCATTGCTGAACCAGTTCTTCCAACCGGCCACCTACGCATCCCGTCCTGTGCTGTGCTGGAATGTGAGCCATGCCTTGTTGCAAAATCTTTCATGAAACTGAGCTCGTCACTGGGTCTGAAATCTCAGGATCTGCTGTGCAAGAATTGCAACAGCTTCTCTGACTGTGTAAGGCCCTGAGCTTGCAGACGATAAGGTGGCACGATTCAAACTGTACTGGATTGTACTGGTACAGCAAGTAGCAAGCAGTCAGACTAAATGCAGAGCATGTGCCTCTGCTCTTTGAGCCCCTGAGGCCCTGTACTTTCTGCTCGGGCAGCGGCTGGAGGTGCCGTGCTTTCGGAGCACAATGCGACGAGCAGAGCCTTCTCTTCTTTCCGGCTGCAGGGAAAGTACTGCAGGATGGAAAAGTACGGAAAGACTGGGCAGACCCTTGACTCGCAGATGGAACGCATCAGTCCTTTGACTGAGCCAAGAGATGCAACCCTGACAGCACCCGGAAGCCCTGGCTGAGGAAGCGGATTGGCTTGATGTCGGGACTGAGGCTTCTAGGCGAGACTCCTGGCCCTCAAGGGCGGAGTTGTAGACGGATCTGCTTCGTGAGAAGCAGAAAATCGATCTTAAATTTGTTAACGCCTTCCAAAGTGCCTTGGCTGCAGCTGCACTCTGCTTGACCTGGTGGGCAGGCATGAACTACCATCCGAACCCGAACTCGCAGAGTTTCCAGGCCCAGAGACTGGCAACGATCCGACACTGACTCCTGATCGTCTCATCAAGGTCGTGTCACAGACCCATGGACCATTCCGGACAGGTTGAGCAAGTCATCCAGAGGATCAAAGCTTACAAGGGACCTGGCCACGTGGACGGGTCTTCGAAAATCTCAGCACGCGGTTCAAGTTCAAGATTTTGCATCGTAGATCGGTGGATCATTCTGGGAGTAGAGGGTTGTCCTCTTCTCCCTGGCAGGAGTTGCAGGATGGCCATTCGCCTTCGGAGCCCTGCTGCTGTCACCTCTTCTTTTGAATCTTCGGCTTCTGCCGCTGCCAAAAGCAGATCTGTGCTACATTTCTTTGTGACATGATCTGGGCCGAAGGGCCGAAGGGCCGAGGGCCGAAGGGGGCATGATTGACGAAAGAGCGCATGTCGTGACGACATGCGCTCTCTTGAGCCACACATTCACGTGGAAGCGTTGGCCTGTGTGGATCTGATCGGCTTCGAATTGCCGCTACGGCACAAGTTAGTAGCTGCTAGTACGTTTGATGGGATTGAGCGGAGCGGAGCGTAGCGGAGCTGTGAGCTACACAGCTACGCAGCTACACGCTACAGAGCCGTTTAGTCATCTTGGCTACCTGTCAAAGGCAGGGACGCTTTGGACTTGCCCGGTCTCCCGAGTGATAGAAAAGGTTTTGCGGTTCCGTTCCCTGCCACCTGGGACGAAAGCCGCGTGAGATTCAGCGGACCACCAGCCGAGAGGCCAGACGCCTTTTGTTGGATGCGCACGGACTGCATGCGCGAGGACCGGCTTCGCGGGAGATGGCACTTGTTTTCTGGCACACAAGATTCTGCACAGCCCATCCTGGGTCGGCGGTGCTTTGGAGGCAGATGGTGGTTGGTTGTGAATCGATCTGTGACTGAGGAGGCTGCAGCTCACCCCTCGCAATGAGTCGCGCTTGGCAGCGATCCTGCTAGAACCGTTGGAAAATTGCAGCGCGTTTGCCCTTTTGTTACGGAGTCAGCAGTTGTACGTCGACTCAATTGAAGATGGGTGTGATGAACGACGTGCTCAGTCGTTGTAGCAACTGCCGGGAGTGGGTCGTGGGGGTGCTTGTCCTGCATGAGAACTGGTCTGCGTGGACTTGCTGAACGCAAGCGTCACTCTGTAGTGGCAGGACATTGCCTTTGCAAAGCAATTTTCGAAGGTGCGTGGAGACACGTGTCCAGGAAGTGTATCCGCGGAATGTGTACGCAAGGCCACAGGTGACTTTGGCTTTTTGTCTACGAATGACCTCGATTTGATTGCAAGGGGCCTGGATCGCCTCGTGGTTCAACGCAGGCATCTTCCGTCTGATTGTGCCTTCCATGTTCGGTGCTCGAGGCACTCACCGTGCGGCTGCACCGCGAGGCAGGCTTCACTGCAGACCTGATGCAAAGGATCAACGCTCTAACTTCGTCGCAGGCACATTTGTCTCTCAAAGAGCGACCCGCAGCGCTGGAGACTCGCAGCGAAGGACCGGGGGCAGTGGGCTTCGAAGTGCGGTTCTTCGAAATGATCGTCTTCGATTTGGTGCTGAGACTCCAGGACGTGCCGTTCCCTTTGATTGGGGTCCACAGCGTGCCCCCGCGACGACCTCCGCCGACTCAGGTCTGCCGGCTCTTGCTGATTCCCTGTTGTTCATGTGGTGATCATGAAGGGATGAACCTTCGCCTGGAACCTTATGACAGGAGGTGGTGTGCAGCAGCCTGCGGCAGAAGAGGATGCGCAAGGTCGTAACCTTGATGCAGCTCCTCCTCGTGGGCCCTGCCTTAGCTGGCTGCGTGCGGGTACGCAAAGGCGATGATGGTTGGGCTGTGGCACGTGGACGTCGTACGAGGGGGGTTTTGGCCTCGGCAGGAAACACATTTCACATTTTCGCTCTGTTACCGTTGGTTGTGGAACGGCAGGCCAAGGTGGGAGCTCTGAACGGTGATGGGCAGCGAGCGGAAGAGCTCACAAAGTCTGCTGAGGATGAGATAGGGCTTTTTCAATTCTTCCATACAGCAGCGGTGAACCTCAACAGAAAATGCGGAGGAGGCTCGTCCGGACAAGGAAGCGAAGACCAGGACCCCTCCGGACCAGATCCTTGGCACCAAGTAGTCCAGCTTTGCACGTTGGTGACCATGCTCTGACTGAGGACGGCCCTGACGGCCCCATCCAACGCCGAAGGCGGTAGCATCCCACGGTCAGACGACGAGCAGCTCGAAAGGCAAGTTATGAGATGAGAACTTTGTGCTGTTTTGTTTGATCGATCCTCGTGTCGGACTTCCGGTGTCTGTGTCTTGCAGCCGAAGTCACACGAAAGTCGGAATGCGCCACCCTCACCGCGATGCCCTCGAGCCATCCATGGGGTGTAGTTGATCTGGAAGCTGTGGGACGCTGACATGGCATGCCATGACGTGGTTGTGGTGAGGCAATTGTCGTTGGGAGGAGCCTGTTCAGGCAATTGTGGTTGTGCTTGGAAGCTAGGGGCTGACACCAGGAGTGGCGAGAGGTGTGTGGAGGAGGTTGTGCTGGCAGAAATTCCTTCAAGCAGCAAGGAGGCCAGCGCGGTGGGTCCGCGTGTTTTGTGTGGCCATGCGAAGCTTTTTCTGGGTCCCTGCCCTCTGCTACGGCTCCTGCGACGAGCAAACGCCGTTGAGACTGCTCCAACTTCCACGAACCGGCCAACGGCACCGGTGAACGAAAGCTGCAGACCAGCAACTACACCAGAGAAGTGTTGTAATTCTAACGCTACGCCGCCCGCCTCGGTTCCTCAGGTGCAGGGGCCGGATGGAATGCCAAAGCCATTGAGAGTTTTTGAGCAGGACTCCCACGATTCAACAGGTGCGAGGGCGCCGTAGACCTGCTTTTTCAGCGAGACATGTCAGCCTGCGGCAAGGAGGAACGAACAGCTGTAACGCAGGGCTCAGGGACCAGCAAGAGGGGGGAGGGGGGGGGGGGGGAAATACAAAAAACAGCTGGACAAGAGGGGACCGGGGGGGGGGGTCAGGTAAAATGAAGGGAAGCCGGGCAAGGGGGTATGAAAAAGCGGGTGTCTCGAAACTTTCGGAAGGAGGAGGATTAGGTGGAGGGTACTTGAGGCAACCCCTGGGCCTGTGGCCTCGGCGAACTAAGGGGGAAACAAACTTTCGGATGTTGCGTCTCTTGCATCTGCACCCGCAGTAGTAAACTCTTTCTCGATCTTGTGATCTTGTGTGCTAGTACAGGCTTGACTTCATTCGTTTCCGGCATTTTCAGTTTCCAGACTCGTTCTGCGATTGGACGTGGCGCACCTCTCAGTCTTTGTCGGTCTCGTGTCTTGCTGTGACGTGATATTTTTGATCCTTTGTGCTTCTGTCAGCCAGTTCCGCTTTGTGCTCGTCCAGTTGTTCCGTTCTCTTTGCTGGCTTGTCCGGCATGTTGAATTCCTTGTGACATCTGTGACCCTGTACTCATTGTCGTACCCGCTGGCACGGTTCGCAGAGAGTGTCTGTAAGGCAAGATGCTCGCGAGACGCAGGCGGGCTGCCTCTCTTCCTCGGCTTTTCCGGCTCAGTGAGCTGTCAGGATGCCGGGGATGCCGGGGCAGAGCCGCAGGAGGTGCACCGGACACTGACAGTGACAGAGATCAGCTCTTCGCAGTGTTGTGTGGAATCTGTGAGGAGGGGGAGCTGAGTGAAGATGGAAGTAGTGCCGGCGAGTGGGTCACAGAGGAGCGAGGCTCTAGGAGTGCTGACCGGGCCAAGCAGGCCAAGCATAAAGCAAGCTTCTTCCAGAATCGCTGCTTCAGGAGAACATGCATAGATTTGGGATTGGTGACTGGCTCTCAGATTCTGCAGCAGAGCTCGCGCACTACGGTGTTTTGCTGTGGCTGCTGAAAGTGTTCGGATTGCTAAGATCCAACCGAAAGCGGACCTGCGTGTCACTTGCGCAACAGCCGACTACTCCGTGCAGAATGCGCCCCCCCTCCCCCTCCCCAATCCCACTGTGTTGTATTCAGCCTTTTGGTATGGTTGGAATTTTGGAGTGGCAGGGCAGATTCGGCAGGCGCATGCTGCAGTCGTACCGCAGCTACGGCTTCCAGACGTGTGCTTCACTGTCCAGATTTAGCTAAGTCTCAACATTCATTGATTTTTGCATTCTTCACGTGTGCTGTTTGAGATTGCTGCAAGACACAGCTCGCCCGCAGCTCTGCCGTGGCGGCATGTTGTGCCTACGTGGGATGCTCGGTGCCAGATTCGGGCTGATCATCTGCAGAATGTCCGGCCGCTTTCTGACTGCGTATGCTCTGCCGCTGGGTGTTGATCTGCAGCGGCCTTCAAGTGTCTTCTTCCCGATCCGCAGACTTGGGTGACGGCCTCCAGCAGTGCTGGCGCTCAGGCACTCCGGCTCAACTACGAGCGTATGTTCTGCACTGCTAGCTGTAGATGTAGGTAGCCGAGTGATGTACCAGCGACAGCAGCGTTTTCCCCGATTCCAGCGACATTCGGAATCCTTCGGGTGAAACCATCTGCCGTGAAGTGTGCATGCTTCAAAGAGACTGGTCAAGCATCAAACCTTCTTGTCCTGGCCCTGGAGGTGTTCTGCGGCTCAGGGAGTGTGCCCCAGATCAGCCTTCCGGCTGTTGCGATGATCTTCGGGAAATTGCATGGTCAGAGTTGAAGGAGAGCAGCCTCTTCCTGGCGACTTGGACGGACTGGTTTCGATTCTTAGACTGGGCTCCTGGCCGCTGCCAACGAATCCCGCAACCTGAAGGTGAGGTGTTGGCGTGCGTATATCGTGACGGTTGCCTGGATCTAGAAGATGCTGCAGCACTGCTTTCAAACTCGGACAGAACACAAGCTGTGCTTTGGACGGCGTGTGCTCCTTTGTCATTGATCGCTCAGCTCTTCTGGGTGCACCTTGGTATTTCCTTGCCAGAACTCGAATCATCGCAGATCCTGGCTCGTGTCCCCGAGCTTCTGCGGCTCTTTGCCTTGCACGCCGGCTTGCGGCACTGGCAGAGCTCCCTGGGCTCCATCGGGACAGTGACGGAGGCAGAGCTCGAGATGCTCCGCGTGCTCCACGTGGCGGAGGCCAGAGTCGTGGGCAAGCTGAGGTCCCGGCTGGCAGAGCACCGTCCGAGCGATTTCGGCCGCTGCGATGTGTGCTGTTCCGACGCAACTTGTCCTCATTCCGAGCAGGGCCAGCATGGCCAGCCCCTGTGTCCCGCTGACACCCGCTTCGACGCCGTTCAAGACTTACGAGATCGGCTCTGGTCACGAGCAGCCTCCGTGCTGGATGCGCTCGAGCAAGGGCCGCAAGGGCCAGGGCCCGGAGAGGCCGAGGCCACCTGGGCCTGGCGCCGAATTCTTCCGGCGGAGCTGCGCTTGTTGGCGGCCCCCGCGGGCGCCTCTCAGTTCATCTCTCGCTTCCCGTACTGTGCTGCTCTTAAGGCGAGAAGGCAATGAAGGCATCGAGGATGAGCGCGGCGGTTGAAGCTCAGGCGATGAGGTCGCACGGGAGCGGACCGCCCATATGAGCCATACGGAAGAAGTGAAGCCCTCCCAGCCTGTTCGTCCTGGGCACGGCTCCTTGCTTTCATGGGGCAGGTAGTTCATGCATGCCGTGAAGCCAGGATGCTGTGGACGGCCGGCAGCCTCAACTGATGGAGCTGGGAACGACTCGAGAGGGAACGGATTTTCAGAGGTGCTGAACTTCTCCTCCTGCGCTTATCACCAGGCCCTGCTGCCAAATGCTCGCTACCGGCCGTTTTTGTTCTCCTGTGCTCGGAGGTCGCCGATTTCATGTACTGCCATTGCCAGCAGCGGCAAGACTGGCAGCTCTTCAGTGCTGCTCGCATGCTGCAGCAGGCCCGGAGGGGACCCTGCATGATCGAACTGCAACAGCCAAAACAGCTCTGTTGCGAAGGCAGGCATCTTGGTGCTGCTTTGCACAGGGTGCAGCTCGGCATGGCCGCTGCCTGAATGCAGCAAGTCCAGAGACAGGTACACGGTGCACTCATGCTTTCGGGAAATTTTCAGAGTGGGGGAGTGCATGGGCATTCCGAACCAGTCGGCCAAATTGAGGCCTTTACCCTTCACGCTTTCAGACTTGCGCCTGCCTCAGATTGGCAAAGGTCACTCGAGCTATTGCCAGGGTGCTGGCTACACTCAGGTGGCACAATCTGTACCGGTCGATTGATTGGGCCGTCAAGACCATGGAGGCACAATGGCCGCAGAGGCTTAGCGTGGCTTAGCAAACAGTACGCAGCAATGGCTTCTGCCGAGATGGCCCGGAGCGGGCCTCCGTCGCCAGGCTCCGCCCGGCCATGACCTCGGTGCTCGGCGAGTTCGCAAGCTGTTGCTAGAAGGAACCTGCAGTGAGAAGGCTCTTCGTCCGGGCTCTGAGCAGCTGCCAGATCTGGGAGACGGAGGCAGAACTGAGAAAAACATGCAGCCGCTAAGTCGGATCCGATCGCAGGAACCTCCGACTTCCATGGATCCAGAGCAGAAGCCGTGGCTGCCGGATGAAGCTGAAGGCAAGTCTTCGCCAGCGCTGGCGGAAAGTGGCTAGGTCAGTCGCCCTGACGCTAAGGTTGGAAGACATGCCCCCTCCGGCTCGGGCCAGTCCAGCTTACGCAGGGAAAGCTGCAGGTGCTTGAGTTCAATCTTTGGTTCGCATCCAGGGCTCTCACAGCTCGCGGTTCTCACGAAGCGACCAGGTCGATGCTCGTCGCTTTCTACACCAGCCGCTGCTTCAGGCAAGTGCTTGTTGATCCATTGTCTGCGCGTAGGGTACGGTGCCAAGGCGTGCCATGCTGCGGTGAGATACCGGGTGCATCCCACCGTCATGCAGAGGCATAGGGAACACTCTTGCGATGCCGCAGGATGCAGCATGTAGTCTCGGCCACTAGGTCCGGGGCTCTCCAAAGCCGGGATGGCACACTTCTCGTTTTGCCACTAGCAGATTTGTCCGCACCCCGACTTGGCAAATCAAATCGTTGGTCATGCGATCTGAGTCATGGAGCTTGTCACGTTGGTCACAATGTTTTGGCTACATGAAAGCCAGACTGTCAGCTGGATCAAGTGGGGAACACTTGGATAGACATGGAACCCAGCAGAAGCAACAAGGGCCGAACATAGGGGTACCAGTCAACTCGTAGCGAGCGAGGCATGTGCACATGCTCAACGTAGTTTCTCGTCACTAGCCTCACTAACTGCCACTAGTCATGAGTCATGATTAGTCCATCTTATCGAAGGGCCTTGCGGCAATGCACGTCTGAGATGTTGGGGTGCCCGCGAGTCGGTGTCACTTCTGTCGATGTCACTCGACTATGGACGCTTCGACAAAGTGGTCGACGCAGACGATATAGGCTTCTCAGCAGGGTTACCGAGAGAGAAGGATTCGACACAAACATCACCCACCAGCATAGAAACACGAGCTCAGGCGAGCCTGAGCTGACGGAACGTTCCGACGATGCCGAGGCATCCGCGAGGAACGCAGACAGGTTGTGCGTGCACAGAAACGGTGCTGTCAGGTCAGGGTTCTGTCGGCCGTTCGCAGCCAGAAGACGAGGGCCGACCGCGAGGCTGCCAACGGCAACCTGCGGGAAGCTTTGAGTCCAAGGCTCAGGAGCCTTCGGCCTTCGCAAGCCTCGAGCCTCCACCCGTGCCGGACCGAGGGCTCTACGACGATGCCAGCTCGATCCTTCTCTCCCTTCAGGACTCGCTGTGGTGCTTATCGGCCGACTCCGCATTCCATCGCATTCCTAATGGGTTTGTTTCGACTGAGGGTTACTGCTCCATCTCAACCGAGCGGGCTCACCTTTTGACAGTGGGACGAAAACTCGAAGACGTTAAGCCGTCGACAAAGGGAGCGATTGCGTGATCTTGCATACGGCGGTGCGAGGTCACGGGTCTTTGCCCGTCCGCTTCGGTCGACATGGGTCTCTGAAGTCAAACGAGAGGAATGCAATCCCTGCACAAGGATGCCAGCACGGAGGGCGCCCTGAAGGCGACAGACATGTGACATGACTCCACAATCTTGTACAACCTTCATGGATGTCCGCAACAACACTACCGTTGAGTACCATTGGTCTCACGAGAAGAATCTGCACATATCTGCATTCGCTTCGTTCCCATGTGCAAAGGCCGTTGACCTGCGCGTGGAGGCGCTCAACATTCGGCTAATGGCAGCCAAGGCCCTCTCCTTGCTGGGCGATCCTCGACTGAGCAGTCGCAACATGCTTCGCCGTTTTGCCCTCCATGTTCTTTTCTGCGGTCGCCCGTTATGTTCGCGGGCCAAGGACTGGTTCCAGGCTCGCAAGTCGAGGCGCAACAGCCGTGCGGGCCGTGGATGTTTTCTGTGCAGGCAGAAGCCCGTGCGAGCAAAGCTCTCGAGGCAGATATGTGCGCGCTTGCACTGTGGAGTGTTGGGGCCCGCGGGGATCTGGGGGGCCTTTGCACCTCCGGCCTTGGTGCAGGCGGCGACGTTCTGCCCAGGAGGCGAGGAGCTTGCGGAGCTCACGGAGCTGGGGATAGCTTCCGAGGCGAGCAGCACCCTGGACCCTTCTCGTACGCAGCTCCTGGAAACTTGTCGTCTGCCAGGCATCAACTGAAGGAGCCACTGCTGCACTGGGCTTATTAGCCAGCGTGACAGTATGTACGTGGCGTGGCATCCAAGGCACTTTGGTCCACCGAGATGCTGCGGAAGCGCTGCTTTGTCGTGCAAGGGCGCGGCTCAAGCTCGGCAATGCAGCCGGGGCGCGCGAAGATGCGGCCAAGGCTCGAAACTTGTTTGGCCCCTCGACTGCTCACAGGCACATCGTGACGAATTAGAGCTGCGGAAAGCTGTCGTGAGTTAGTTGCAGAATTGAAAGGCCAACTGCAGGACCAGCTGAAGCAGGCATCAGCGTCAAAGCACTTAGAAGTTCGTGAGCAGAGTGTCGTTTACGTTGCAGGACAGTCTCAGCAGTGATACGGATCGGACCTGCTTGTACCTTGCCACTGATGCCAGGAAGCTGCTGATGGGTTCTTGATGCAGGCGGCGGTGTGTTTGTTCCGCAGCTCGACTTTGGTCCTCTGGGCTGGTGGGCTTTCTCCTTTCGCAGGCTCAGATGGTCATCGCCGCGAGTGGGCATGATCCAAAGACACTGAGCCAGAGTTGCGAGAAGAGCCCGGCTTCAGGCAGGGCGACAGCTCTTGTTCGAGCAGCTGCAAGCACTTGTGCCCATACACGTACCCCTTTGCTGCGTTGCGAGGACCGCTGCAAGTGCATGGGCAGCTGCAGGCTCGCCTGGTGAGCAGATCTGGATCCGTCGGTCCGTAGCTGTGGCAGTGATAGGATGTGGAAACGCCGGCCTGCAGCCTCCCGGCCCCTCTTTCCAAGATGACGCTCGGCTGACAGTACCAACCAAGCGGTGCCATTGCGCTGCGCATGCCGGAATCGAGGCCGCGACCCGAAGAGATCGTCGGCCTGTTGGAGGAGATGGACTGAGGGCAGAGCTACGTTTGTCGGCTTCTGCCATGGGTGAGAAAAAAGTGAGATACTGACATCATGATTTGGTGCCCCGGTGCCCTGCCTTTTTGAGCTGCCAGTTTCTCCTCGCAGACGTTTCCAATCTTCCTCAGGTCGTTTCACATCTCGGTTGCCCTCAGAACATGGCTGGGAGGCGTTCACAGCGCATAAAGTATAACCGTGTGCGCGCACAACTCCATGTTGCCGTTGCCGAACCTGAAACCAGGAGCTCTGCTATTGGTGCACCATCTCCTGGGTGGGCCGCGGAGGGTGACTCTGCTCCTGGCGGACCACGATGAGGTGGTGCCGACAGCTCTACTGTGGCATTCCGCATCTCATCGTCCCCCCTTCCTATGGTGTTCACGAGGCACAGTACTGTATCCAGAAGTCGAAGCATCAACGAATATGGGAGTCTCGTGGCCAATAACTGAACAACGTTGAGCCGGAGGTTGTTAATTGAAGCCGCAGCCATAGGAGTCCATGCAAGCAGGGTTCTCTAGAACCTTTGTCTGTAAGCTTCCTACATCCAGCCATTGCAGGGAGTTGTTGGGTGGCCACACGGTTCAAGCTGCTTCGTCCCGTAGACCTGAACCCTGCGATCCCAGACAGCATGGTTCCGGTTGGTGTTTGTTGGGGCAGAGGGTCCGACTCTGGTTCAGCTGACCGCATGAGAGTTCGATCCGTGGCCTTCCAGTCGACTTGCAGGCCGAACCATTCTCCAGTCTGCCCCGTGCAGTTCGGTACGGAGGTCCGAGTGCTGACTCCTTTTTGTCAAGGCTGCAGGGAATAACTCGAACGCACCTGCCTAGAGGAAGCCATGGCGGCTTTGGTGCGAGGAGTCGTCGCGGCAACCTGAGCCCGTCGAGCTGGCATGGCCTTTGCTTGCTGCTTCGGTAATCGCATTTTGGTTTCAGTTGACTCCATGCATCGTGGAGACCTTGATTGCGTCCAGGCTGCTGGGAATGCTGCGGCTCTCCAGCATTTCATGTGGTTCCACACCCTTCCCTATGCTGATGCCTGGTGCGTTGCAAGGTCCCATTTTCGGCTGCTGTGGCTCTCCGAAGGTGGGGCTTCCGGAGCAGAGACATGCCAAGGGTTGGTCAGAGACCAGGTTCCAGCGCTTGCTTCGCAGATGCTGTGGCATCCTTGGTAACTTGCCCTGATTGACTCTGTCAGCTCCGTCTTCCCAGCATGAGGTATGGGGATTCCCAATGCCGGGGCTGATGCACGGTCGGAAGACCGAGGACAAAGAGCGTCCTTTTTTGTCATGGTTCCGTAGCCTTGTTTTGCAGATAATGCAGATATCGTGTAGATGTTGACACTTGGCAGTACGACTGCAGTGGCAATTTCTGCTTCGGGCTCCGCCGCATTGCTCCATTGGGCCAGGCGGGCCAGGCTGTGAGTTTTGGCATGTTGTTGATGAACCTATCGGGGCGAGCGGCAAGTGCAGGCTGTGGTAACCTTGCGGCCAGCACTGGATGAGCTTTGCGGCCACCCTGCGAGGTCAGCACGCCGTGGTATTGCAGATGCAGTCGAAGCTCCTTCCTGCGAGGCCGAAGAGGCGAATTCACATGCTCCTGGTGCAGCGCGGGGGCCCTTTTTTGCATGCGCTCCTGTTCTTCTTGCAGCCGTTCGGTTGTCCGTCGTCCGAAACCCCTCTCTCCAGGTCCGAGGCATCTTTCGCGGCGAATTGGAAACGCGCGACTGATGGCCATGGCCTTCCAAGCGGCGAGACGTGTGACGTGTCGGACAGCGTCGGGTCGTGTGCTTTGCCAAGGCCAAGTTGTGGCAGACAGCGCATGCCTCTCAGTCGACCACAAGAAGTTTCAAGAGGGCAGCAAACGGACCACAAGGTTCCCGCAGCTCGTGGTCGAAATCTGGCGTCCCGAACTGCACCCCATCATGGAGCAGGTCAGGCTTACGGAAAAATTAACCTTGGATCTCCTGACTCCTGACCTTCGGGAGGTGCGCCGCATGTCAAGCGTGGAGGCCCTGGCAGCTGTCACTGGGCAGGTGCCTCGACACATGGCCACAGGGTGCCATGCAGATGTCTCATTGTGATATGCATGGTGCACACGGTACGGAGTCACGGAGAGGCTTGTGGATTGGGGGCCTTCCTTCACAGAGGCTCCGTTTTGCTGGAGGCCATCGCTTGCACAATGCAGCAGCTCGCAGCAGCGCACATGACATAGAGCTCTATAGGACTCTGGGATGATGGAGCTCCATTTCTTTTCTGCAAGGGCTGCACTTTGCCTTGCATCCTGCAAGCCTCTTGTCCAGTTTACGCCCGCGCTGGATGGCTCATATGGCTGCCACCCAGGGTGGGCCGACCCGTCTCGTTTGCAGAAACCCGTGCGTGTGTGTGGGCTTGGCGGAAACGGGCTCGCCGTGGCCAGGATATGAACCCCACGAGCGAGGCTCCAGCTCTCTGCTTCTTGGCATCGGATGAGGACACAACGGACACCAGGTGGGACAAATTGCACGGCTTGCCGAAGTTCACCACCGCTGCGCGTTGGCCTTACCAAAAAGAGGTTATGGCGGTTGTGCTATCCATAAGACCAGCAGGCAGACCTTTGGATGCTCTTGAAAGGTGATGTCCACATGTGTGGGTGTTGCTGCAAATACACCGCTGCCGGCAAAGCTGCCAGCACCTTAAAGAGGAGAGTCTGGGATCGCTTTCTTGCAGTGGCGTCTGCGACAGAGGCACTGCAGTACTCGTACCAAGAACCGTTCAAACCTGTGTGCCAACGCCAGATCGGCTGAGCTGGCGTTGCAAGTCCGAGCGACAGCAGGACAGCCGTGCTGGAAGGTGTCCCACAAGTTGGGTGTAGAAGAGTCGAGGCATTCTCACTCACTTGCTGTTGGGATCTGCATCCGGAACCGGGTCCGACTGGAAGTTTCTGGATTCTTGAAACGCACTGGTACCCAAGTTTCTGTGTTCAAAGGCAGAGCCATTCTTGCCAAGGTGCATGCTTGCAGATATTGCCGATGAGACGGATCCAAAGTGCAGTTCATGATCTGCTCTGCGCAGGAAGTGCCGACCCATTGCTTCTCGCAGAAGCTGGCCTAACGTGGAGAACCGCGGCTTTGGCCAGAAACTGAGCGAAGCTGCATATGTTGGCAAGTTGTGCTCGGCCGAAGCCCAGGTGATCTTGCCGCCTCTTGGAAGAGGCTCGCGGCTTTTGAGCTTCTGAAGCACCGCACAACACTGCGCTCAAAGCGCAGACCCGTCCAGCAGGCCTGTGGCGAGTGCTCGCACAGGCAGCCTTCCCCCCAGCTCAGTTTGCAGAGGGCAGTGCAAATGCGCCCCGCATCTTGAGGTGCATCTCGTTCTTGTCTCACGTCTTCAGTCGGCTGCTTTTGTACTGGGAGCAAAAGGGCGCAGATTCTGTAGGGAAGGTCTGTGAAAGGCAGCATTTAGCACGCCAAAGGTCTGTCTGTGCGGTCAGTGCGCTACAACTGCGTAGAAAGCAGTCGGTGAGTGAGTGAGTGAGTGAGTGAGTGAGTGAGTGAGTGAGTGAGTGCGTGTGAGTGTTTGAGCGGGTATGTGTGCGTGTGTGAAAACTGGGTCGCAGACTTCATTGGAGGTACTGCTACAAATGGGAATTACTCCGCTGACGTTTGACGGCTATGCGGTCAAGAGCGTCAAACTGTAACATCCTCAACCCCGCCTGTGTTTCTATGCTCAACGTTTGTTGGTGGAGTGGCATCTGTAACAGCATCTCTGTGGATGGAGGTGGGGCCTGATTTGCAGGGTGAATCTGCCTCGTTTGGCTTTGGACTGTGTCTGAAGGTTTCTCAACTGAATTCATGCAGGCATGTGGCCACTTCCATCGGGACTCATCGAAGGTGCAGACCCCAGATCGCATGTTGAGGGGCACCGGTTGGCGATAGCCAGGTGTTTTGCCCAAAGTGTGGCAACGACACGGTCGTGCGAGTCCCGATCGTTGTGGATGAGGCGCGGGGGTGGCCATCTCTGTTTCTCAGAGAGAACACCAGTCCAAGGACGGTGTTCCCACTGTGGTCAATGCTGGGAGGAAGCTCAGGCTCGGAGTCGAAACGAGCAAGGCAGCAAGACCCGAGCAATGTCGACCGGGGACCGGCGGGACCGGGCCTGAAGGACAAAAGGGACGGTGTTCTCCATGCCCAAGCCGCAAAGTGGAAGGGTGTGGAAGCCGATTTTCGCAGAGGACAGAGGGAGATCAGTTTTGGTGTCGTCGGAAGTGCATGAGTTTGTCTGGCGATTGCCGCACCGGATATCGGATCAAAGTATCGGCCCCCATGCACGGAAGCAGGCATGATCACGAGGGCCTGCTTTCGAAGTAGGACGTGTGAAGGCATTGCAGGAGTTGAAGTGTTCTGAAGTGCATCGTACTCCAAGCAGAGCACGCAATTTTTTTTCTGCACTCGCACTGCCAACATGGCGGCGATGTCACCAAAGGCCGGTTTCTGAATTCAGCTTGCTTCAAACCAAAGGACGACTTCACTGCCTGTTCGCGCAGTCTCCAGAAAGAGCTCTTCTGAGCAAGACTCAGCGCATTGTCGTTGGGGCCTCATTTTCAGAGGTTTATTTTGAGGCAGATTTGCTGCAGGGAGATGCAAGTCGGTGCCACTTCTCAATGCTCTTTAGGCTCTTGGTGGCGAGCGAGCAGCCACCAAGCAGTTCTTCGAAGCCCGGGTCCTCAGCGGAGCAACCTTCAGTTTCACCACGCTGGCTCGGGGCTGGAAAGCTCACTGAAGCGGAACAGATCAGTGTCTAGCGAGTCTTGCGGCTTAACGGCTCATGCTCACGATGCTCGCTCTGCGTTTGAATCGCTTTTCCGATAGTTTTTGGCTTTAGTCCAGTGTTGGTTTGACGGCCAAGGGAAATCGCTGGGTCGGCGGAGAGGCCATGTGCTTCGGACTGCTCCCCAGTAAGTCTTGCCGAGCACGTTTCTGACAGGAAGCCGAGATCGATTCTGATTTAGTCCGATGGGCTGGCTTGTTTTGATGTGGCAGTAAGCTCGTGGCTCGACTCTATCAGTCATGCTCGCACGCCTTCATGCAAAGACAGGTCAGTGCGTGGAATGCACGGAAGCCGGCAAAGTGACGGACCTGCCGCAAGCCAAGACTCTTGATTTTTACATGCGAGCCTCAGCTTCGCCTCTTCCCTAAGGAATTTCCATTACAAGTTTTTGCCCAGAGCCCAGGCCCCTTGAGAGAGCCGGCGCTGTCTGATCATGTGGCGTTGAGGAGCAAAGTCCAGGGCCTCCAGGATCATGTCGCAAGCCTACGCAGTTTGGATCTCTCCTCGTGTGGTGCTTGGGATGAACTCGCTGGATTTTGCAACGAGAAGTGTCAAAGTTGTCCGTATGAGACAAAGGAACAACATCAGGGTCATCGAGAACCTGGGGCCCATGATGAAGCTGCGCGAGTTGAAGTCGCATGCTTGGAAACCCACACTTTGATAGAGTCTCCCCTGTCCAAATGTATGCTGCTTGCCTAGGCTGGACAGCTGTCAGATTTCGCGCATTCAAGGGTTGGAGAAATGTCCCAGTCCCGAACCTGGACTTTCGCTTGTCAGTCGACAAAAATGAACATGGTCAGTGCTCTCAACATGTACGGGTATCAAGTTTTTGGAGTCGGTTTCGTGATTGCATGCATATGATCTACAGAGGTCTCATCTCTCTACACTTAGAGGACAACGAAATCAGCTGCGTGGAAGGCATGACTCTGTGCTCCCGCTTGCGTCCGTCGGTCTGTCTTTCTGTCTGTTTGTGGTCATGTTGCATGTGCCACTCGAGGTCTTGAGAAGCTTTTCTGCCTGGAGATTCTGAACCTGGAAAGGAACAGATTGCAGAGGCTTCGCAGCATCAGGATGAAGTCATGTGGTTTGAGCTTCTGGAGAGAAGATGCATTGACATGCTGTTGGACAGGTTAGGCCGTGGATTGAGCAAGCTGACAAAGCTGAAAGAGCCATAGCCTCAGCCAGAGTGGCAGCTCGCCTGAGCGGGACAGTGCCCTGAGTGCGACTCGCACAGGCTACGCTTGGGCCTGAACCAGCTGACGTCGCTGGAGGGTCTGCCTGGCCTTGGCGCTCTGGAGGCGCCGAAAAAGGCCGCCAGTCTTAACTCAACCCCTGGATGATCCCAGGTCCTGGATGCCAGCCGCAATCAGCTGACATCAGTTGCAACGGAGGAGCTCAAAGGCCGTACCAGTAGCGGTGTGCGAAGGTGTCTAGAGGTGTCCAAGACTCTCTCGATACAAGGCTTGGGTAAGCTGGACGAGCTCAACCTTTCAGGCATCGAGCGGACCGGATTGGGGGGTTCACATGAGTCAGAGGGGCTGGACGCACTGGGCCGCAGAAGACATGGTGTTTTGAGGCAATGGGCTGTCCAACATCAGCTTTCTGGGTCTTGGAGGCCCAGGAGACATGCTTAGTCTCCATTCCGAGGTTATCTGCAACATGGCTGAACAACCAAGAGAGCGGAACTGACACACGCTAAGTCCGTCTATCGTCTTTGGATCTCTCCGACAACTCGCTGACGACATCCTCTTTCAAAGGCGTCGGTGCACGGTCACGGAACAGTCGGCACAGCCAGTATAGGCGCATGTGTCGTTTCTTCAGAGTCGTTTCAAGAGCTTTGTGAGGCCTTCCCTGTCTTCCACTACTTACGGAGTTCATGTTGGCGGGGAATCAACTGCAGGACCTACATCTTCGTTCCTTAAGCCGGATCATCAAGATTGTGTGGCTCCGCAGCTGCAGGAAGTCCCAAGCAATCTGGCAAACTGCCCGGCCCCAACTCGCGTCGACTATGAGACAGAGAGAGATGATGGTCCATGGCTGTTTGACTAATCTGGTGTTTCAGGTTGCCCTGGCTTGGAGATACTCGACATGTCAAGAAACAGCCTTCTTTTCGTCACCGAGGATCGCGAGTTGATGTTGTGCATATAAAGCCAATATCCCGTGTGGGACTGTATGTGCCAGTGAGGTGGACAAGCTAAAGGCGATTGCCACGTTACGTGAGCTGAGTGTGAAGGCGATGGTGCTCTGTTTCCGGCTGACTAGGAAAGCGAGAAATGGTGTCGTCAGGGCAACCCACTCGCGGACTGTGACGACTTCCCGAAGGCTGATCTGCTCGGTCAAGCTGGCTGCTCTCTTTCTCGCCTCTTCGTGGAAGGCAGTGCGCTCTTTAGCTGGTCTTGAGTATGTTGACAACAGGCAAGATTGGCCGGCACTGCAGCGTGGAAGGCCCCTGACTTGCATCCAACTTGGCAGGCAGCTGCAACCGCTGCAGAACTTGCTGGAGGAACCTTTTCCTTGTGACAGCTGTGACATGTGTTGAATCACGCCGTGCCCCGCAGGACGGCGTTGAAAACGAGGAGATGTTCGGCCTGACAAAGGTCGAGTCCGAGGCGGTCCTGGGTCCGGGCAGACTTCATCTACGTCGCCCGTCACCCCCCGCGTTGTTCCAGGAGAAGGCCCCAACTTCGCGCCCTGGCACTGCTTCTCGCACTGCCCTCAGAAAAGGTTCTTGGTTTGTTCATGGCCGATGGCCACATGAATTCTTGTCGAGGTCCTGGTACAGCTTCCCGCCCGGGCACAGCCTCACGACCGGGAACGGCAAGTGCTTTGAAAGAGGCCACGGCCCACTTCTTCTTCTTCTTCTTCTTCTTCTGCCTGTTTGGTGCCTGCAGACATCAGGCCGGGGTGCAGCAACCCCTGATGCACACTCCAGCAGTTCCCGTGCGGAAGTGCGCGAGCCCGCGCCTTAGATGTCCAACGACATCCTTACGCCTGTCACGATGCGCCTGCTTTTGCAGCCGGGCAGGTGAGGAGCAGGTGTCGCAGTGGGCGCAGCTGCTTGGACAGCACGGCTTGCTGCGAAGAGCTGTGAAGAAGCATGGCCTTATAGCATCACCTCATCTTTGCAGAGTCGAGGCAGACCATTGGGAGCCTTCAGGCCATCGGCAAACAGGTTGAGAAGACATCCTCGCAGGCGCTATCAGAACGAGGCCCTTGATGCCGAAGTTGAACACAAGCCGCACCAGGCAGAGCAAGACTTGAAGGAGATGTCCCAACCTCAACCGTTGCATGGACGTGCTCAAGATTTGTGCTCTGCTGTAGTCCTCGCAGACAGCAAGAGTCTTTTTGTGCGTGCAGGGAAGTTTCCGGGTTTCTTTCTTGATCGGCCCGCTCCTTCGGGGCAGTGCGTGAAGAGCTAATGCAGACGCAACATGGCTTTACCGGGAAATCTTGCAACTATCGAAAGCAGAAGGATTTGCATGTTGGAGTCCTTCCGTCCAAGGCCATGCTCAGGTGTCTTGTTTCAGATTGAACAACTAGAACTGTGATCGCAACACACGCCGTCCTAACCCGATGCGCTCCCGCGCAGTTGTTCAGCCATTTTTTCAGCCATTTTGTCTGTGAAGCCTGGTTGGTGGGTCGACGAAGAACACATTGGCAGTTTGCTCGCTTGGGATTACGATTATCAGTTGCTTTCGGTTGGAGTAACCACAGCCTTCTGCCAAGGCATCGGTATGTTCAGAAAGCCAAGAAAGCCAATCGACTCCATGCGGAGTGGGAAGCCCGTGGAAGCCTTACGCTTCGAGCAGATCTCCAGTCAAAGGGAGAGACTCGTGGCGATGCCATCAGGGCAAGACGATGCCATCCCAGAAGAGACAGAAGAGGTATCGCCCCAGAGCCGGATTCGGATTCTGCGCTGCTGCCCTGTCTAGAGCAGAGAGGCGAGCCCACCAACTCCGGACTGCCACCAGGCGAGAACTCTCGGCTGAATCTTCGCGTGAGTTTCTCTTCACCCGTAGTGAGGCACCAACACCGCTGCGGCCAAGTTCTGGCAATGCAAGCCGAAAGCTGCGAGAGGCTTCCCGCGGTGGCACATGTGCTGTGTGTTGGAGGACTTCTCAACAAAAAGTGGGAACTGGGTTCCAAGCGACGAGACACTTGACACGAAGACTTGCTTCAACTGCCGATGCTGCTTCTGCTGCTGGCACCAGTAGTAGAAGACGAAGGAGCAGTAGAAGCAGAAGCAGAGGGCGAAGTAGAAGTAGTAGTGGTAGAAGGAGGAGGATGAGGATGAGGACGAGGATGAGGATGAGTAGTAGTAGGGGCAGGCGTAGGAGTAGGAGCAGGACCAGGAGGGGGAGGAGGAGTAGGATTAGCAGGCATTAGCAGTAGCAGCAGCAGTAGCAGCAGCGGCAGCAGCAGAACACTTCTACCACTACTACTACTACTACTACTACTACTACTACTACTACTACTACTACTACTACTACTACTTCAGAACGCGTCGATACAAGTGCCTGCATTGTCCAGCCTGTGTGTGTTTTGATCTAGTCCTTGTCATATAACTCACTAATTAAAACTTAGATGAACTCGAAAAGAACACCTGGGTTTGGAAGTATCGGAAACGTTTTTATCGACTGTAAAGGAACTGAGGTGTCCAGCCTCACTACTACACTACTACACTACTACACTACTACACTACTACACTACTACACTACTACACTACTACACTACTACACTACTACACTACTACACTACTACACTACTACACTACTACACTACTACACTACTACACTACTACACTACTACACTACTACAGTACACTACTACAGTACACTACTACTACTACTACTACTACTACTAGCCACCCCCGCTGCCAACTACACTCGCTTCATCCGGGCTGGGCAGTGGTAGCTTCTAGATGCCCTAACTGCGACAGTTGCAGAAGACGAAAGGGCTCAGGCTCCCTATTTTTGACAGTTGCAGAGGCTCGGCTCCCTTAACTGTCACAGCCGGCGAAGTTGCAGAGGCTCCTGCCCCAAAACTGCGACAGCAGCTGGAGGTGCAAACTCGACGTCGGATAGTACGCAAATGTTGTAAATCCCGTGCAAAACGCAGGTGCTGCCAAGAAGATTTCAACACTCCTAAAACCTGAAGTACAACATCTTCCAAACATCAAAGCCGAAGACGCCGGCTGTACGTGGGAGGGGGCTCGCCAACACCCCTAAAGCCCAGACCTCGATGCAAGAGGGTTTGTTTTGAAGTGGCGTGTGGCGTGTGCACAGTAGGGTGTGGAGATATTGTTCGGGGTGTCCGCGAAACAGTGTCGTGATCATCCCCCCCAACCACTTTCGAGGTTTTGCTGAAAGCCCTCCGAAATCCCAAGGTCGAGGTGGCATTGTCCAGAATTTAGGTTTGGTGAGGATACACAATGGTCCGACATCACGAAAGTACCGCAAACACCGAGTGAAACGGCTCTTCTGGAGATATTGTTCGAGGTGTCTGCATAACAATGTCGTCATCATTCCCCCGCTCCGCCCCAACCCACAGCAAGTCCAAAATCCGAAGCTCGAGTTTGCAAACTCGACAAGTCAATTTTGAGGCTTTATAAGATGATCCTACATGACGAAAGGGCTGTAAATACCGAGTAAAATGGTTGTGTAAACATGACTGAGAGCAAGTGTAGTTGGTAGGGGGTGCCTACTTCTACTTCTACTACTACTACTGCTACTACTACTACTACTGCTACTACTACTACTACTGCTACTACTACTACTACTACTACTACTCCTGCTGCTGCTGCTACTACTACTGCTACTACTACTACTACTACTGCTGCTGCTGCTGCTACTGCTACTGCTACTGCTACTGCTACTGCTACTGCTACTGCTACTGCTACTGCTTCTTCTTCCGGACGCTGCAGAGAAACGCGATCTCAGCACTGCGAAGTCCAGTGGATTGGCAGGGACTCCTCCCTGGCGCACTTGCGCTGTCCCTACACTTGAGGGCCACCCTAGCTTCAGAAAGAGTTCTGGGTCCTCCCGACTCGAAAGCCCTAAAAGCAGAGGAACCCAGTTGGAGTTTTCATCCGAGCACGACTCTAGACTACTGGTGATGCGATATTGTACAGGAGTGCATCACACAGGGTCCAGAGGGCCTAGGGGGAGAAGTTATGAGCCTTATGAGCCTTTGAGCCTTGGGACTCGTCATCGCTCGGCGGGAACATTGGGCCGAGGGCCCTCGCCGCATCTAGCATACAAAAGCACATAGAGCCTGCGATCATGGGAGAGTTCCTGTTGTAGGCTGAGGGCCGAAGCAGGGACATTGTCATCTGTGATAAGGGCTCGGCGGTCCGGTCCTAGATAAAGGATGGTGCGATAATGCCCTTCAGTGCATCGCTGGCCTATGTGCATTATGGCAGATACACGGCGGTATTTGACAAAATGCTGCTGCAGTGCAACTGCTACTGCTACTGCTACTGCTACTGCTACTGCTACTGCTACTGCTACTGCTACTGCTACTGCTACTGCTACTGCTACTGCTACTGCTACTACTAGCACTGCTACTACTAGCACTACTACTACTAGCAGTACTAGCACTACTACTACTACTCCTCCTCCTCCTCCTCCTCCTGCTGCTGCTGCTGCTGCTGCTATCACCACTACTACTACTACTACTACTACTACTACGACTAAGACTACGACTACGACTACGACTACGACTTCGACTACGACAACAACTGCTACTACTGCAACTTCTACTTCTACTTCCACTTCTACTACAACGACTACCACTGCAGCCACCGCCACCACCGCGACGACTAGCACTTCCACTGTTACTGCTGCGAAGGCGGTGGTGTTGTACCGGAACGAGGATGGGGACGACCAGGCAGCCCATGGCGATCTCCTGCAAGCCCAAGCAACACTCTTCTCCCTGCCCTGGTCACCTTGGAGGTTGTCGAGGAGAGGCAGGAAGTCGGCGCCCTGTCGAGGATGTGTGTAAACTCTTGACTTGGTGTGTCGAACAAAGGCGGTGCTGAGCCCTTCGAAGACACCGTCAGCTCTGCTGCTTGCAGCCTATGATGAGATCGAAGAGATCCAGGAGGCACGTGCAAAGGAAGAGTCCCCGATCCTTCAATTACAGCCATTGATACTTCACAGTGATTGCTTTAGACTTGCTGATTTCTTAATTAACGTGGTCAGTGCGTTTTGACTGTTTCTTTTGTTCGAGCCATGCGTTATGTGAGGAGTCATATATGTTTGCTCATGAAAGACTTTGTGCCTTACGATTGGCATTGTGACTAATGCTTTTTGTCGCTTGATGCGACCTTCAACTATTTTGGATGACTGTGCAATTTCAAGCTGTCTTTTGTGCATCAGCCATCAGTGTTATGATTCCTGCCACGGCAGTTGCTTTCAGTGCTTTTCGTCTATGTACTTGAACATGTGCTGAGATTCTCATTGATATGAGATCTGCCGCCAGTGTGGTTGTTGTTGGGCCACGAGGGAACGACCAAACCGCACAAATTCGAAAGCAGCAGACCTCTGTCGCAAAATTGAATACGAGTGACTCCACGAGGGCAGGAGGGCCGAAGCAGAGACGATGTCGTGTGATCCCCATCCATGGCATGCGGCACCAGAGCTGTCAAATTATCAGCCCAAGGGGCGAAAGTGTAACCAGCTTGTTGGACGAGTTCGAGCCGTGTGATCGGCAGGAAAAGGACCAGGGAGAGTTTTGCATTGCTACACAGTGGTACGTAGGCGTAATGGCGTTGGATTCGAGGCACAGGGCATGGGAAAAACAGAAGCAGCCACGGAACGGGTGAGGACGCGACCATCATCGTTGCCGAAAGTTGCAGTTTCTGCCTGTGTTGCTAGTAACGTCGCAGACGAGTTGATGGGTTTGATCGCAGAACTTGTTGCAGGAGTCTGCAGTCTGCGAACAATTGAAGATTCTCTTGAGTTGGGAGGTTGCCGATGCATCGGATGCTGATGCTGCGCCCAGCCCGGTCGCGGAAGAGCCGGCAGAGCCTTCGGAAGTAGAGGAATTTCCGAGCTTTGCCGATCGTGGCGAGGCATGATTGCTGTGTCACGGAGACTGCAGGAGGCTCTGGAAGACGGCATCAAAGGAGGTGGACAGGGACAGCCTATGCCCGTGCCCTCCCAAGCAGGATCAATGACATGCTCTTCAGTCATTTCCTTTCAGACCTGAGGCCAAGCTGGGACGGCCTCCACCAGGTCGGCTTGCCGCCCTCGGCTCCTTCGAGTCTTCGTAGCATTCCCACTCAGCCTTGCTGAGACGCAGCCGTCCCTACAATACACCCGCACCGCCGGGGCCAGCCCGGGATGGTTGAAACATACCTGGCTAGGAGGCCACTGGATGATGCCTCTGGTACAGGGCACACCAATCCCTTCCTTCTGTGAACTGATACTGCAATCACATCGCGATTTTGTCGCAGTTTTCGTGCATGAAGGGATCTTCCCTTCAGATAGTCTCGCAAACTCAAGCGGCGCACCCGGTTCAGCGGACCGCCACGCTTTCGTAGTGCTCGTTTGTTGTAGATAGCGTCTCGCAGCAACATGACATAACATGACAGAAAATGCGTTTTAAACGAGGAGGGTGTGTTTAGATATCGCTTGACTTAACTTCTCGGCAGGCAAGGACATGCGAGTTGGCATCCGCGCATCGGTTCGCCGTTCCCACTCCGGCACGAGGAGCCGTGCAGGCACAGAGACAGCCTTGGGGGTCCATGCGTGCGCTTGGGGATGGCGCTTTGGCTTTAACTTTTGATGAGTCAGTGGATGTTTGGTGGCTTTCCTGCAAACAGCAGGCCCCGGCCCCTACCCTGCAAGGTCATCAAGCCGTAGTCTCGGTTTCTTCGCTTGCACAAGATCCGTGGAGAGACCGCTAGCTTCCGAGGTCCTGGAGCTGTGAAGGGTTATCCCGGGAAGCGATAGCTTGCAAGCTCGCGTGGCATCGCAGCCTGCAGCTTTGTGCAGCTGTAAGCACCAGCCCCGACCAGCGGAATTGTTGTACAACGGAACTGATGTCACGCCCTGTTTCGAGTTGTTTCGAATTCATTGCAAGAACTTTGTCAAATACTGACAAGGAGCATGTGTACATAGCGTAGCTTAGTGCGGCCTGTTCAACCAGGAACTGAGTGGAATTAAGTCGCTGCTCAGTTGCCGGTGCCACCCTGCAGGTTCCAGCGAGAAACTGAATGCGCTAGAGCATGCAGCGGCACAGAATCGGAAGCGACGTGGGCAAGTCAGGACGAAATCAAGATTGGCGGCAGAGATCGCGAGCTACGTCATGCTGAGAAGGTTTACGAGAAGGCTTCGTGGGCGTTAAGTTTGCATCATTTTGATTCTGCCCGGCAACGGACGTGCGAGGAGCGGCAACTCCGAGATCCGTTTAATCAGGACAATGCAGTGCGGGGCTTCGCTGCTGTACACGAAGTGGGGGGGGACTCGTGCCAGAGACCAATGCACTCACATTTTGTGAAGTTGGCATAGGGCAGCAGTTGCGGACCGGAAGTTGTCAAAGTTTCACTGTGCCTGGTTGCCGACTGATGTTTTTACCCAGGCTTCATGGTTCATTATTCTGTGGCACTGAAATGTAAACCCTTTCTTCGCCACCACAAGCTCTTCACAAGGCTCGTGGATGGTATCAGCGCACCACGACGGCCACAGGTGCACTCATCCTTGGTTGTGGCGCTTTCTGCATGTAAGCAAAAGCCCTGCCGCAGGCAAGACCATCACTGCAGGTGGTGGTGGACCTCGTGTACAGGCCTGACCTGCCTCATGGTCGTTGAACCACGAGCTTCTGCCCACCTGGGAAGGCTGGGTACGGACGCAGGGTTAACCCGAATGCGAACAACTTTCGCGGCAGCTTGGCTCGCAACGGGCTGTGGAGATTCCTTGCGTGTACATCACCGAATATCCTCTGGGTCCAGGCTTCAAGTCGAAAAAGAGGTAGCTCGACGACGAGCCCTTGCAGCGGTGCACATCAGCTTAGCTGCAGTAAGCGGCACTGTACAAAGGACAAGTCTGCACGGACAAAAGCCTTCAAGAACAGGCAGTGGAAGTTAAATTACATTGTAGCATATAATGGCCAAGCCCAGGCATTGTCCAGCAGCGAGCCTGCTCCGAAAGAGCAGATGTACAGCTTGAAGACTCGGTATCCGGTCTGCCGGAGAAGGAAAAGCGGCTTGCGAGCTGTTCACCACATCAAGCAACCCAATGCTGTCCGCAGCATGCCATGCGATGCCATCGACGAGGACCACGCCTGAAGATTAAGCGGAATGTTTGCCGGGCCGGGCTCAAGATTTGGCTTGCCTCTTGAGACACTCGCCTCCGTGAGCCCGCCGTCTTCACAGGCAGCCAGCCGTGTGTGTGTGTGTGTGTGTGTGTGTGTGTGTGTGTCTGTGTGCAAAAAACAAAACGGGACACTGAGAGCGCGCAAGAGAGATTTTGGACTCCTGCGCATCCGCAAAATGCGGACAACTGAACGAACATATATAGAACATATGCAACTTCAGTGAATGACTTCATGGAGCAAATGCAATAAACAAAACACACCAACAAACGCATGAAATCCTCAAAACTAAGAAGCACGATTAAAAAGTGCACATTACAACAACGAACATCAAAACACCAAAAAGCAATACAGCAATCCTGGGACTCCCAGATCTGGTGCTCTGTGGCCAGAGAATCCCAAACATTGTTTTGGTCTGCTGTTTTGTTGATTTTGTTTGTTCTTTGTTTCTCTTGCCTATTCCCCGATCATGCTGCTGCTTTCCAGCATGCTTCTTCTTACGCGCGAGGAGTTTGCGAGCCAAAGAAGCAAACATCGCAACAAATAGTCACCAAAACAAAAAACGTCCAAGCAAACAGGCTTCGGGGAGGCCACAGTGCACTAAATCTGGGAGCCGTGGCAAGTTGCGTCTTTGTTGCTTTTGATGTGTTGATTTCTTTTGTGCTTTGTTGGTTCTTGTACTTCCTTTGCCTGTTCCCCGATCGAATTGCTTTCCAGTGTGGGGAGTCTGCGTTAGGTCGTCCGGTCTTGGGCAACTCACAAAAGCGTGTTGCTCCTGAACTAGTTACTGTTGCAATTTGTATTATCAGATACGCCCTTACATCGGTGCATGCCCTTGGCTAGTCAACAAATATCTCCACCTACAGGCGTATGGACATTAAACGATTGCTTGCTAATTGAGGTCAACATTTATATATGCTGCATTTTCACAGATTGGCAGATACTTAAAATGGAGATGTATGCACATGGGATCCTACACCTATATCAGCGCTTTCAACGTGCTGTTCTCTAGTCGTGCGAAAATGCGGGTGGACTCCCAGGAAAGGTCGTCATGTGGAATGTAATGGAGCGTAATCCAACATACTATTATGTAGCCTTGCTGTCATCATCATCATCATCATCGTCATCATAATTATATGTGTTTGTCATGTGTATATACATATATGTGTATATATACACACATACACATACATATAGACACCTGTGGTGTTACTTCTGCAGTCTCCCCAAAGCCGTGAGGACGAATCCCACGGCAACCTCCGATGAGCAATCATGCGAGAATGATACCATGCACGTAAACTGTGTAAATTGCGGCATCCGGAGGGGGGGGGTACTTGAAGTGGAGCCTCCATGCAAGTTCTAGCACGAGCGAACGTAGCAGGCGCGAAAGCCAAAATAGATACACGCACACACACACACACACACCTACACCATAGTGGCAATGACAGGAACTGCAAGGAATGAAAGTATAATAAGGAATGAGTTAGCTGTCCGAAAACCCTAGGTATCTTCTATGTCAGTGTATACATTGAGAAACCAAATGTATACACATACTGCGTTTTTGACAACATTGTTTTTTTCAGTTTTCCGTGTCCCGATATGTCTGACTGTGTGCACACATATGTCTATATAAATATGTATATATATATATATATGTATATATGTATATATGTCTGTGTGCGTATGTGTCGCATCGGATTTGACAGTGTGTCTGGCTCTGGGACAGCAGTTGTACAAGGCGTACCTGTATGTGTATTCCAAGCCATGCCCCATTTCGTTGATGACATATAGTGTGGTTCATAGGAAATCGGACGTAGACTACATGTTGTATTCAGTATTTATGCCATTGTGTCTGTTCATTTCCAAAGACAAAGCGTAGAAGTTGCGGGTTTGCATCTCTACAGGACCTGTGATCGCTGATTTCGCACCTGGGATATGATATCTTACCCACCCCGCGTGATGTATCGCTAAAGTAGACATACCTATATGTTACAAGTGTGTGAAAGCAGTTGCCACACTGCTATGGTGGTATGATTGTGATAGAAATGCATGAAGCTACATATTTCGCTTTTCACAATGTTTGATACGATTTTCGCTGTCATACGATATGACCTTATGCTGATACTGCAGTCTGCTGATTCTACGCACGGGTTTATAACTTGGACACTTCCCATATGCCGCTACACAGACTCCCCTTGATATTTACATATACATATATGCATACAGACGTATACATACATGTAACATACGTCCGTGCGTACATACATATATACATACATACATATACATGTACTTAAACACATGTACGTATGCATTTATAAGTAGTCCTATAGGTACAAGTATATACATATATATATATATATATGCATACATCTGTATATACACACATATTTGCACGTCTATGTGTGCAGGCATTTTGTCTGCCCATTTTTGCACCTCGCCATTGTGGCCTGTAGCAGCTGTAGCATTCCTGTTTCCGCAGAAGGAAGCTTAAATACATATCTGGGCCTAGGCTACCTGCATCTGTACGCTTGTGCGCATAGCATGTATATACACAGTTCTTGTATGATTATGATTACCTAAATTTGTATACGAGGGAAACCGAGTCTAATATGTTATGTCGGATAGATGTATCCTGCAAAAGCGTTTGCATGTTCCAAGCCATGGCCCTTTTAACAATAACATGCAGTATCGACCCGCAGGGTGCTTACTTACTCTTGCTCTTTTTGTACTTGTTTACTTGTGGACTTCTGCCTTACATATTCAAGACTAGGAATTGATTTTTGATTTGTACTCCGTGCCATTTCATTTCATGTTTTCATATTGTACATAGCGAGTGATAACTTGCGTGGGTTGCCATGTGTTGGTAAGCTGGGTGTGCATTTATTATGTTTCATGTGCATGTGTGCAAGCGGGTATGTCTACCGTCACAAGTATATATTACTATGTGTGCACATA